ATCCCAGACTTGAACCCATTGTGCAGCTCCTGTTGGCAAGGAACTGACCCACTGGGGGTAGAGGGAGGGAACGGCATTGATGTCATCGACTCCGTCAGCATTGGTTAAGTTTTGTACGGCTGCTATCATGTTGCCATGGAGGGATTGTACAGCCTGACTGCCTAGACTGGATACTGGTGTGTCTGAGGGGAGGGTGAATTATACAATATATATTTTCAGAAACAATACAAAGTATGTGAACAGAGATTTCCACTTTATTGTCGGAGGGGGTTATACTGTATAGGCCTTTGTATATCCATCAGGTTTTTACTTATTTCCTTTTTCTTTCAGTATGTTGATTTCACAGGGGTTGGCACATTTATCTGTATAGACCGTCGGTATTGCTTTTCAATACCATAGCAGGCTTGATTGACTTTTCCACAGCCCGCTCTGCACAGAGAGGTTGCAGATATGACGCTGAGCTGAACTCCTGTCGCTGCGCTCGATCGCGGCTCAGAGAGAAAGGCTCTGAACATCGGTGTTTGAATTAGTTTGTGATTTTTTTTTTGACTGGTTTCATTTCCTGAAAATGAAGTGTAAGATATTTTTTTGTTCACTGAGAATATCTCAGCGGGTTTTTATTTTTAATGGGTGATGGGCACACTCTTTCTCATTCTTTTGATTGGTTCTTTGATTGATCATTGATACCATTTTTTCATTACTGCCGTGCCATTTTGTCCCTGACTAAAGTTTGCACATTTATTTTTTTTTTCCATGCACATTTTCTTTTCTCATTTGACATGTGGTACTAATGCAAAATGACAAGACAGGCGCTTGTGAGTGTGTATGCTGAATATATTTTCTAAAGTGTAATTGATTCTGTGTGTGTGTGTGTGTGTGTGTGTGTGTGTGTGTGTGTGTGTGTGAATGCAAAAGAGAGCAGTTTACAGTAGTGGTTGGATATCCACCTGCTTTATGGGTGCATATGTTTGAGCTGGCTCTGCAACAGTTGATTCTTATTGATTTGAATCTGAGGTATCTGGATATGGTTTGTGTGAGCCAGAAAACACACTGGTATGGTTGGAGTTTTTCTTGATTTTTACAGTGTGGTTTCCTTTTTGTAGTATGTTGCCAGCATAACCATTGGCTAGTCTGTGTTTATGTTCTGATTGGCTCGTCCGTGTAATACACATTAATGTATATACCAAGGCCAAAACATTTGCAGATTCAGGTAACTCATGGCAAACATTTGTAGTATAGCAGTATAGTACAGAAAAAAAACTTTTTTATTTTTTATGAGTGGCCTTTCTTTCTCTACTTTTTTACTTAAATGTGAATACTGTTTCAATCATTACTGTCACTAATCAATCAAGGCTTCTAACTGAAGAAATTCAAACACTCATTTATACTTTTAGCTATTATTTCAAGACAAAAAATCATGTATTTACAATGATCACCAATGATTGTAGACTCATTTTAGAGACACTATCAGCATCCTGGAATTCTACTGAAAAATAAAAACGTGCAATATGACACTGAAAATACATAAAAATACCAATCATCTGGATTTGTTTTCTTTTAGTCACATCTTGTCGTCATCACATTGAGACCAAAGACTAATCAGCATCTGAGTGAGATATATATATTTACCTCAACGTCCCCACAGCCTCAGCAGCCATACCAGTTTAGTTGTAGCCATAATGTTTTACTGGTTATAGTTGTGTTTCTCAGCCATTCACAATATGAAACTGCTATACACCTGACTGTTCTCTAAAGCCCTCCCCCTATCAGCGATTCTCCAATCGTAGCTTAGCAACCGTAACTAGGCACAGCAAGCCTGTCCAGCTTTGTTTATGAGCTAAGTTACCCCGCATTTTAAAAGTTTGGACGGCGTTTCTGTTTTATTTATTACAAGAGCAAACGCGTACGAAATTGATTAAACTATCTGTTTGTCTGCAGTCATTAGCATGTGCGGCTAACTAACTTACTTGTAACGAACCATAATGGCGCCAGGGCTAAGAACCGCGGCATTAGCTTAATCAAAACAAAGATGGCAGCCGACTACCTGAATAGGAGTCGTAACTTGGGAAACTGGTTAAAATCTGATTACTCATGTAGTGGAGAGAATATTTTTTAACCACGTGGTTGTATGAGTTGTTGAGGATTTGTAAAACACCGCCAGAATATCGGTAAGTGTTGTTTTTCTTAGTTTACATCATGGCTAGTTAATTATCTATAACCGATGATGCCAATATATGCTAACACAGGAGAGGCATAAACTGGGCTAACGTTACCTCAGGTACCAAGCAGCCAAGCATCTAAACAGGGTTATGATGATGACAGTATTTTTTCTTTATTATAACAGTAACTTATAACGCCTGGGACTGCTTTAGCCTTTTAGTATTAACATCACATGAGTGGCCGTAGTGTGCATATTCGACAAGATTCATGTTTTAAAACAAGTCAGCTTTTTCAACTAACTCCCTGGAGCTAGCATTAGCTTAATTATCTAGCTAACTAGTAACTCTAACTATTAAATAGCTGCAGTTGTCATTTGACTACGCATTAGAAGCCTGCACTTGTCTAAAATCGAGCAGTTCTAGTTCGAATTTCGATTGTAAATCCGCCACTTTATTAAACCGACGTTCTAGAACGGAACGGAGAGCTTGGCGGGCGTAGCAACAGTAACTAAGGGGGCGGGGCTTTCATCTTTCACCTAAATGTGACGCAGCCATTTCCTCCTCTCAATACACTCTCATTCACACATCAGCACATCACATACACACCCAAAGAGTCATGCACAATACCAAATGAAGGACTCACAGACCGTTCTTTACAACCGATGTGGTCTCATTGGTGTCGACCAGAGAGTACAAACTCCTGCTTTTCAAACCTTCTTTTATGACTCCTCATAACTCTTTTCCACAACTGTTTTTTTTTTTTTTTTTTTAAAGCATACAGGAGGATTAAGTTTAACAAGCCAATGGCTTTTTTTCATGCATTTTGTTTTTCAGCATTGTAACATTGATCCCTGTGGAGAAATTATCTTTGCAAGTGCTTGGAACATCTGCTTGTTGTACACTGCCACCTGAAACTGCAAGTGTTTTTTATAACCACTTTCAAAATGCAGTCAGAGAAGGTGGCCGACGGTCGGATCTGTTTGTGTTAATCACATACACAAAAGCCGGAAACACTTTGAGGTTGTCTAGCTAGCAAAGTCTTCACTTGCTTCACTGGACTTGACTAATCACTTTCACTCCCACTTTATTAACGATGTTATTTTAGATGATGAGAAGCAGCATAGTGGTGTTATTGCGATAGGTTACTGCTGTGTGATATTATTTTTTATCTCTGACTGAGTTGGATTGAAAGATGTTAAAGTCACACAGATTCAGCGGCGATTGCCAGAGCTCAATATAAAGAAACAAGAACTGTGACCTTGTTTTTATCTTATCATCACACTCCATAGCACACAGTGAGACTCAAAATCACACAGTATCATAGCTGTCTGTAATTTCTGTAACTGCTGTTGTTTTGATTACATTTGAAATAATAAACAATGTTGTTAAATACAAGGACATCCTCTGAATATTTCTATTGCACTAAGGAGCTAATTTCATATATAACCACTTCCATGAATCAGTATTTGTGTATTATTTTAAAGCACAAATATGGAGAAACACCATAATCTGTTTTAAAAATGGCTGCCAAAAAAATAAAATAAGTTGGGAAAGCCAGTGTTTGACTGACAGAAGGCTGAACGCTTTCTGTCAATGTTCATTTCTGTCCATCAGTTGACAGCTTCGTGCAGCCCATTTCTGAACAAACATACCACACTTTTCTTCTTTAAGTCATCTATATTGGTCCTCAAAGAGAGCATGACAGTGAAAAAAATGCTGTCTGGTTTATTTGAAATCCTTGGATCAGGTAGATAGTGGAACTGCTTCCCTGCAGATTGAGGAGATAAGGCTCTACAGCAGTACAGAGAGAAAGCTGAGTAAACAACACTGCAAAGGGAAGCTCGGAAGCTGGGAGGGATGAGGAAGGAGGAAAATATTACTGACTGAGCAAGGAAGAGCTTTTTTTTTAAAGCCCATTTTCTTCCACGTAAGATTGGTTCAGTAGCACGAAGGACAAAAAGAGAATTAAACTTCTGTAATGTTTGGCGGTAGAGCTATAACTCAAGGATATCGTCAGGAAGTAATGAAGCGTGCTACATAAACACAGGCACTGCACATTTTGCCTATAAACAATAATAAGTGGGTGTTGATGGTCGGACACCCAGCTATTACATTCCCCAAATCAACTTATTGAATCCATCGTAGGCAAGGTCATACCAGTGCCGTGAATCACATTAACGTGGCCCATCATCTCTGTGATGTATTACTGCCATCTAGTGGTCAAACTACAGAACTGCTGTCCATAAAGGAACAAAAATAAGTGAGGTGTGTAGGTTTAATGCATGTTTCTGTCATTTATTTCCTATAAATTACAATACAATCTAATATATTTCTTGTCTCTACACAACAAGACTTCCTGGCCCCCTCATATTCAGGCTGTTTACTATACTATATTAGTTTGTAGGAAAAAGGAGTAATCAATTAGTCTGCAACTACATTAAAGGCTGCCTCTTCCATTTCAGCTTGGGGAATGTGAGGTTTAAGTGCTTTTATTTGTCATATATGAAGATAGATTGAATATCTTTTGGGCTGTTGGTCACATAAAACAGCTTATTTGAAGGCGTCATCGTGGGCTTCTGAGAAATTATGATAAATGTTTTAACATTTCATAGACTAAATGATTACTAGATCAACCAACAGAAGAATCTGCAGCTTAATCAATAATGAAAAAAAGGAAGTTGCAGCCTTAGTACAAGGCTAGCCAATACATTTAATTTATAAAGGCTTGTGGAAGGCATTTAAAATCACCTCAAACACATAATTTAACAAATTAAAGACACATTTTAGTGGTCTTCACCTGTAAATTGTAAAATGTAAATATTCAAGGAACAGGACGCAGAGTTGTTTCGAATATACATTTATTTGGACCTAATAGAAAAACCACACAGTGCAGCTCTCGTTAAAGCAATTCCATCTTTAAGCAAATCTCCAGAGAGCGTCAGCCAATATAAGAGACGTTGCAGGCCTACAAAGCGTACAGCGAAAGCCAAGATAGACGACTCTGCTTCTTTCATTAATTTCTTAAGAGTAATTTGATTCACATGCTGGACTTGGACAGTAACTAAATCACCATTACAAACACTGCTACAAAGGTGGGTTGTATTAGGTTGCACGCCTAACAGCAGTTTCTGTGTACACGTCGGCTGTATTCTGACACTTTTTCACAAGACTCTTCTCCTTTATATATATTAAATAATTCAGCTGTTTTGTGACTTATTTCATATCACAGCGCTGATTTCCAATGAAAATGTAGCCAAGTAACATAAAACAAAATGCAGAGTGACTCACATCCGTAGCAGTGTTTGTAGTTGTAAATATTCAGAGTTATGTGTTTTTGTCAAAACCTTGACAGTAAAATAAAATATAAGTAATATTGAGTCCTTTAGGGACCAGGGTACAACAGGTCCACAGGTTGCCTGTTTCCTGTCTCATATTTCTGTGTTCAGTGTCAACTAACATTCACCTACAGTGGGTGAAATGGTCATAGTGCATATCTGACTGTACAGCATTGAGTTTAACAGCTGCTTTAAGGAAACAGATCGACAGTATTTACAGCGTCCCCATGATAAAGCACTCCATTGTTTTAAACCTTGGCTCTCAGGCCCTGCTGGTTTTCTATCTGACCATCTTGGTGATTGCATTCACCAGGTCCCAGTGAAAACCAGCCTGGATTTGATGGCTAGAATGAAAACCAGCAGATCCTGAGGGACAGGAGTGAGAACAGATCTGACATTTACAAAAGACTGAGGGCATCCTTTAAACTGACAGCTACTTTAACAATGTTAATAGTGCCTGATTCACATGCGCAGTTTAACTAAAAGTAGTTCCAAGTAACTGAAACAAATAAAAATAACATTATATGTGAAGCGATCTGTGGCAGAAGGATATGTTCAGGGCAAGGATTCACTGCTGTGTTCAGCTGTTTATGCTTTGTGCAACTGGGCGCCATAAACAGACACACAAGAGGTAGGACTGTAGTGATTGAACTGGGTCACACAACCATGGTTGACTACAGTATGTATCCATTGTTACTGGTGGTGTAACACAACCCGATCCACCTGGTGGTCAGTACAGCTCACAAAACACGAGTGAGCTATCGAGGGCCTATAAAAAACAGTGACACGCCTCTTCATGGAAGACTTGCGGGTCTGTCCAGAGCAGCTGACTTTACTCTGTTAAGCAGAGCTACATGAGTCTCAGCTGGCTGCACACAGAAGAAGATATTCCCATGTAGAATATGCATTTCCTCTAGCTCAGTCTCATTGTAATCCAATGATAGTACACTTTAACAAGTCTAAAACATACAAAAACCTAAAAGGTGTCCAGTGGAGTTTTCTTGTAATCTAACGGAGGTTATGTTTATATTTAGTGCTTCTAAAACACACTTTGTATTCTTAATGAATAAGTTAACACCAAGCTGAAAAGCAGTGCCCTCTGTGGTTTTTAAGTTTCACCTCTAACCACACCCACCAGGGATGTCCCAGTGTCCTGGCAGCCTGTTGGCGTTTGTTTGTTCACGTTACCTCTGCCAACCGTCTACCAGTGGAAAAGTGTGAAACCTAACATCAGGCTATGATTTGCTTACTTGCATGTATGCATACTTGTAAATGTGCACAATACAAACAAAAGGCGGACCAGCGCGTACAAAACAACTATAGCGTTGCTAGTGGTCACAAAACAGGGCAATTTAAAAGATGCGATAATCACATTTTTAACACGACTACTACAGTTTGTAGGACTTTTTGTAAGAAAGAAAGCTTGGGTCTGTAACTATCTATAATAACCCAGGGCTCTCTGAGTGCTCTCTCGGTGGGAGCACCAATAAGAGCGAAAGTTATTGAAGGCACTCCAGCAAGCAGTTCAAAAGGTGGTGTCATAAAAAACACAATGCCAATTTCCTTGTGTGCAGCTTTCTAGCTTCTCTGGATGGAAATGTCAGACTCCCTGCATTAAGTTCCCTCTATACCCCAGAAACCTCTCATGTCCTGTAGCAATAGCTGCCACATACACTTTCATCTTGGAGTGTGGATTCTGCCCCCTACAGAGCTGGCAAGAAATACAGCGCCATCCTTAAACTGTAGTGAAGATGTATTTATAGTAAAGTAGCTGCTTCCAGCTTGATTAAGTAACTCACCTTTTGAGCACTTTTATACCGACTTTCAACCTAAATTCTTCCTCAGATTAATTGAAAAGTGAGTGTATCTGCATGTGAGGAGGCTTTATGAGTCGATTCAGTGGCAGAATTCACAAGCAGGGCCGCATCTAAAGATTATTTTCATTATTGATTTATCTGCCATTTGTTTTATTGATTAACTGATAAAACATTTGGTTGATAAATGTCAAGAAACGGTTAAAAAATACCCTTTACAGTCTCCTAAAGGCAAAGAGGACGTCCTGAAATTTCTTGTTTCGTCCAACCATCCATCCTTGCCTCAAATATATCCCTCTGCCACAAAGATCCATTTAAGGGAAACAACATAATTTCTTTAAGGTAACACACAACAGACAAAAATCAGCAACTGCTCAAGTGTTTTATAACTGAGTGTGTAATAAACCTGACAGCAAGAGAAAAGCATTTACACTTTGGTCACAACAAATGGGAATAGTTTACAGCAATTCCCTTAACAGTCTTCAACAGAGTATTATGGTAACAATTTAGTAGTGCAGTTCTGCCGTTGGTATCCGCCATGACTAAGGAGTGTACACATTGGGTTTAGAAATAACGACGGCTACCTGTGTAACAGCTTGTGCTTCCTTGTTTTAGATTAAATTAAATCATTTCCCCGTCACACAACCCTCGAGACAACATTACGAACCGAAGATCTTCCAAACTAAAGAACAAAGTATCATTAAAACAGGAGAATAAAAAGGGCATTTTTGTGGCAAAGGCCTCCAAGATCACAGTGAGAAGATACGGCATCATAGACAAATGCACACAACTAAAACACACAGTAACACGTCTGATTGGAAAAATAAATATAATAAAATCACACTGGTTTGTACATTCAGTAACATTTCTGTTATTTACCCTTTTCTTTCTTGTCAAATAAGCAGCTTTGCCATCGGTAAAGTAAGGCAGGGGCTCCGATAATGGTGGTTCAGAGGATCAGTCAAGAGTGCCTTGTTAATCTGAAATCAAACACACAGTGCGTTATTACTAGAGCTCCGTTTTAATATAAATACAAACATTCAGCATTTTGATAAACTATTCTGATGTTACTGTTACTATAGTGGTGTTAAACAGGAAGATATTTCTTTCTTTGTCTTTTCTTGGTTTTTATGGAGACGAAGGAGGAAATGACAAAAGAAATGTGGTGGAGGTGTGGAGATAATCACTGCCTCAATCTAAATTTCATGCATACCAGGCTGTCACAAAGTATTTTTACTCTGAAGGAAGGCTAACAAGTGTATCTACTTTAAAGACATCTTAACATCAAGATTGGAGATCTTGGAGCCAAGATTGCTGTATCACTCACTGGAAAGCGGCTCCACCTCCATGGCTTTTGACAAATTCAGGCCAGAGTTCTGTTTGGGCCGTGCCCCGAGCTCCCGCACGTCCCTGGCTGGATTCTGGTTCTCATCCAGAGCTTTCTTCTCCTTCTCCTTCTCCACCTCCTCTGGGTTGTAGTAGCCCCCCTCATCTGCTACCATCTTCTCCACTTTCTCCAGCAAGCGTCGTACCTGGGGATGCTCCCCGAATATGCAGTTGTTAATGACAAAGTACCTTCGCTTGCACTTCTCCAGCACCCGCTGCAGCTCCTTGCCCTCCCTGCGAATGTACCTCTCGATTGAAATGGTCCTCAACACCTCGGCCCAGCTGAAAACCACAATCATGTGCTTCCACACATGCTCACCAAAGAGGCTCACGTGCTCCTCGATGCGAGCGCGGTCCACCTCTGTGAACATGCCCACGGGGATGACGAGCAGGAAGGCGTGTGGACCTGGAGGGCAAAGAGATGCCCCCCTCACTAGCTCCTGTTTATAGGAGGGTGGTGTATCCTGGGCGGAGAACCAGCCAGGAGTGTCCACCACGGTCACCTGCCGCCCCTCCACTTCCGTCTGCCTCTTCACGCAGAACTCGGCTGCTCGCTCCAAGCGAAACTCCTCTCGGCCGATGATGGTGTTTCCGGTCAGGCTCTTCCCTGGCCACCTCCAGCCCAGCACCACCAGGCGAACTTCGGGCAGGCGGTTTGCCGCCCTGGCTGCAGCAGCTGCCGCCTTTTTGGCGTCCTCCTCTGATCCAGGGGCATCTCCGGCTGTGATCATTAATTTATATATATCAGGGTTGGAACAGAGCATTTATACACCAACTATTATTTTCATCATCAATTAATCTGCTGGATATTTTCTAAAATAGTTGTTTGGTCTGTAACATGTCAGAAAATAATACAAATTTACATCAAAAGTCCCCCAAAATTAACATATTTAAACAGCTTGTTTTGTCCAATCAATAGTTCAAAACTCAAAGATACTCACCACCATCAGACAACTAAGGAAACCAGTAAATATTCACATTATTCTATTTCTTTTTTGCTTGAAAATGACAAAAGTCTAACCTAATTTAATAGTTAAAACCTTTTCTTAAATATCACATTAAACTCACAATATAACTTAATTACACCAATACAAGAAGACAAGACTACGTATACTGAATCTAATACACTAAACGTGTACCTGCAGTCTTATTTTAATGCGTTATAAACTGTGAATGTGCCTTTAATCTCTATATAATCATTAACATCAACAAAAACATTTGCCCATCAGGTTAAAAGGTTGCAAAGGTTATATGAAAACACCGCCATAAGACTTACTTAATAACAGCTTAAGAACATAAAAGCAGGTTAAACATTTGTTAATATATTATTAATATATTAACATCCTCTGTCACAACATATAAAACGTGTGAAACGTGTCACATCCCGGTTTAACGTCACCCTGGAGGACAGTTTGCTAACTTAGCGCTAATTTTAATAGCCGCGGAAACTCCCCGTGTTTGTTTGGCAACCCGCGGGAAAAACCACAGTTTTAAAGACAAAGATGTTAAAGTTACGGGCTCACCTGCCGTGTGAGTTGGTCTACTCGCTTCCATACTCTGTTTAACTCCCGGTCGTGGTTTTATTGGGGGTCTTTTTGTTTTAGGGAGGCTAGTTCACCGGAGAAGGACTTCCTCCTACCTGACAACGGACGCGACAAGCTAGCCGGAATGTGATGGCGTTACTTCCGGCCACGTCTTTCAAAATAAAGGTCATGACAAACCTCAGTCTTTCCCAAACTATTGATAGTATGTGTAATTATATACTATATTCCCAACCAAAGCTTCACGAGGTCTTCTTGATTTTAATGGGTGTGAGAACATTTTGGAAAAAAAAAAAAAAGTACTTTAGACCTACATCTCAGCGTTTCCTTCATTTTAGATAAGATTAAATTTTAAGTACTAAGTACTAAGACAACGAAATGCAGTTAAGCATCTAACCAGAAGTTCAAAAGGCAGTAATGTATAGAGTAATGTGCATATGTACAGGGATATAAAAAATTATATAGATATATATATGAAAATGCTAGAAGGATATATACAGTATTCCTTTCTGTGAAGACAACTTAAAGTTTAGATTATTATTTTAGATCTAAACTTTGAAGACCTGAACACAATGTTATTATTATTATTCAGAGACTTTAGGCTGGGATTTGATATTAAAAAATGACATGATACAGACACAACATTGTATAAAAAATTCCTAAAAAATATCAGTAATGCTGATCTCTGATTATTCACAGGAAATAATCTGCTCAAAATTCATCCAAATTGCTCGTTTTACACAGATTATGTCATAGTCAGAGGTTGTCAGTTTACTCACTCAGGGATAAAGCGACGTCCCTTATGGAAAAAGGTTGGGAACCACTGATCTGAATGACACAGGGGGACAGTGAGTGACCTAGACACACACACACTTTTAAAAATAAATAAATAAACACACTTTTTTTTATAAAACAATACAATTAGGCAATATGTAGGGGACTTTTTTATTGTTAAGTATTGATAAAGCAATGTATTTACAACATTAATGCAAAATCTGACTTTATTTACAGCTGTATGAAAAACAGTTGATCAATCTGCTCTATGTGATAAAAGCTTCACCGTCACATCTTCAATATGACTTTATTAGTTGTATGAAAGTAGTTAATTCAAGGAACGATTACCGTAAAGAAAGGAAGAAAGAAAAAAGAAGACAAAAGACATAGAAATATTAATCTAAATAGCAGTTTGTTAATTCCTTCACTTGAAAAATGTACCTTCTTGATAAATATAAAGTTTAATTACAAGCCAATAAGCAAAAAAAAGTATTTTAAAAGCTCTTCATTTTCCCTAAAAACCTTCAAAATGAAAATAAATCTTAAAAAAAAGACATATTTTTAGTTTCTTTCTCTAAGTGAGAGACTTGCTTAATGCAGTTAAGTTGCCCACGATGCCAGCATACGCATATCGTCATCCTCTTCAGCCCTTTTCTTCATTGCTGTAAAAAGAAGAAAAACATTTAACAATTAATGCATTAATAATATTATTATGTAACATTTATCAGGGTTATGGCTGCGTCATATTATTTTGTTATCGAAAGCAAAAAATTATAATTTCCCCCCCATCAAGTGATTCATATTTATTCTTAAAATACGTTTAAAAAGGGACGCTCTGGAGGCCTGATCGTGAAGGTGACCATGAATCACAACATCACTGTTTCTCTTTCTTTTTCTCCAGTAGCCTCTCTACTAATTATTTATATTTCATGTAATTCAGATAATAATTAAACCGGTGTATAAGTGTTTGTATATAATATGACTGTATTTGTGTACATGTGATGATTTATGATAAATATTTTGTTCAAAGAAGTAAATTAAAGAAAGATATGCTGAAAGAACTAAAAATTCAGTATTATTAGTGGATAAATTAATGCAGCTCAATTTGACTACTTGACCATTCAATTGACCATCAACATTGTAAAGTAACAAACAGTCTATCTGTGGTTTATTTCTAAAACTAATATTTTGGAGATAAAATTGTGAAAGTGGCTCATATATATTGAAATACACACAACAGCTGCTGATTAAAAATTAAAAATTCGCCCTCTAATCTCGCCGTGTTGCACTCACTTGCGCGCTGACTGGGCCGCGCTGAAGGCAGTTTGGAGCTCGGCACGCTGGGTAGTCCGCCCATACTCTTCATGTTCTCCTCAAGCTCCTCCTGTTCCAGCTCTGCCAGCTCTGCCAGCAGCTCATCCTAAAAAAAACACACAAAGTACACAAGATTTAGAGTCCTGTCAGATCCATTTTTACAGCACACACACGGTCTATGTACAGAGTGTAGAGAGTGTGGATGTTTTAGAGGCTGACAGAGGAGGTAAAGAAGGTATCCACCTCATCAAATGTCTCGCCGAAGGGTCTGGAGATGGCTTCGCTGATCTCTTGGGCAACGTCCTGTTGCTCTGTGATGTCCTGCAACAGGTCATCGATCTTGTCGACGTCCCTGAAAACGAGAGGCGAGAGATACAAGATTTAACATCACTGGAAACTCAACTGGAGATTTTTTTTTCATCACTTTAAAAGGAATTTGTCTAAAAGAACCCTTTAAATTTTTGGATGCTACAAAAAATATAAATTAAAAAAAGGTCCAGTGTGTGTAACATTTAGGAGGATCTATTGGTGTACCTGGATATAAGTGTTTTTGTTACTTTAGAATGAGACGTTTATCTACAGACCTCATGTTTATACAGTAGCCCAGAAGGGACAAACCAAACACTGGCTCTAGATAGGGCTGTTTGTGTTTTTTCATGGCTGCCGTAGTTACTCCTTCGAGCTTGGAGGGAGAGCGAGTTAAGGCCACTAAATCCGACACACTGGACCTTTAAATTATATCAATAATGACAGTAAAGCAAATACTGCACATTTATTAGGATTAAAGCTGCAGCTAGTGATTAATTAATTATTTTTTTATAAGGATAATGGATTATTGTCCCCTTTATTAATAATTTTGTTGTGCTCAGTTAAAAATCCCAAAGCTGTAATTGTAAATTTTTGTCCTAATTTTACGATTTTCTTGACAGATTTGTTTTAAAAAATAAATATTCTTGAGATGTTTGCTTTGCTGAAGTGAAATCCTTTGACAGTTTTTTAAATATGTTGCTCTAACATATTGTTTTCTATCAAAAGTTAAATGAATGTGCAAAAACACGATCATGTCAGGACTTTTAGTGAAATGGTATCGATAGTTGTTGAATGCTCTTGTTGTTCTCACATGTTCTCGTGGACCTTCTTCATGGCGTTGGCAGCAAAGCCCATGTTCTTCAGGACCTCTGTGTTGGTGTGCGAGTTCTCCAGAGCCTCCCTCTGGAACTCGATGGTGGAGAGCGTCCCATCGATCTGTGTGAGCTGCTGCTCCAGGCGCTTCTTCCTCTTCAAGGCCTGCAGGGCAGCTGATACAGAAAGGTTGCAGATTGATCAGCTGCTGTTATGTGGTGGAGGACTTGCAGTGTTGGGCGTTCACAAACAGAAAGGTTTTTTAAAAAGGTTCCTCCCTTTTTACATGACGATGTTTATTTTTAGTCTGAGGTGATTCAAGGAGCAATGCAGCAGCTCGAGATACTGTAGGTTTTGTTTAGTCGCCTCACCTGTTACACTTGCTGCTGCTATCAAAACTAGAAGACTACCTTAATAATCAATCACTTCAGGCCAATAACCATACAGAGAGTACGTGTGGGTGAGAGTTCAGGGGCTTTACTGTACCTGAAAGTGCGTTTTATCTCAACCCTGTAAAGACTGTCATATTTATCTTAAACAAAGCCTTGGGGCACATAATAATGAATACAGGTGCACAGATATTTTCAAAATAAAATAAACAGACCTCGCTTATTCTTGGTGCCATTCTTCTTGGCTATCATAAGCTCCTGCTCGATCCTCTTCTCCAGGTAGTCCTGTTTCTTGGTCAGCATTTCCTCGGTTTCTCTGAGTTTGTGGATGGCCTCTTGGGGTGAAGGTCCTCCCTTCGACCGGTGGTGTTTGGACCTGGAAGAGCTCGATGAACTCGAGCCGGAGCTCCCTTTGAATAATTTCGAGATTTTGCTCATTTTTTTTTTTTTTGTAAAGCAGCTTTTTGGTGTCAAACTGCGACGGTATGTGAACACAAACTCTCTCCCGGGCTGCGCCGATAGCCGTCCGTACCTCACACTGTTTCTACAGGGCGGGTGTGTTGCAGCAGATTTTCCAGCTCGACGACTTTTACAATTCAAACCAGCCAGTGAACGCACCTTTCACCACACCTTTCACCACTACCTGCGTGACGTAGTGACACCTGACGCCCTCCCTGCTTTCGCCCTCGAGCTCGTTTTTCTTTGTCTTTTAATCTCAGTTTAAGTTAGATAATACTTTTTTTTTTTTAATCTAATTTTTTTTTTTTTTGTGAAAGGCTAGTAAGCAAATATATATACTTCAACCTGCGCCCTTCTTTAATAAAAATAAAAATATTTAAATTAATCTGTTTTAGCTAAACAACTTGAAAATCTCAGTCACATGATCTAACTTCCGAGGTCAAAGTTCGTGTTGACATCCGCAGACTCACCGCTGTCTAATGGCTGAATTAGACATTGGGAGGCATTGTGAGGTCGACCCCTGCAGCCAGAAAGGTCCGTTTCATCTCCGTCTGAGTCGCAACAAGCCAACATATTAAAGTGTGACTTTATTCTGCTTTATTTGTGAATGTTAAACACACCTAGCGCCTCTTTAGCACGGCTAGCCTGGCAGCTAGCTCGCGTTAGGTTCAAATGTCTGTAAGTTAAAGCAGCTGCAGTGTAAACAGTATAGTTTATTAACATGTAGACCTCAACCCTGTTGTGTTGTAGTTAATAGGAAAGGTTTGAATTCAGCTCTGAGATTAAACTCTTTCTATCCTCCTAGATTTCCTTCCATTTGTTTGCGATGGCTGCAGTGGTGTTTTCTGGTAAGATATCTGATATATAATGTAAACAACATTTACAAACTTATAGGACGTGTTCAAGGTCCCTAACTCTTTAGTACTTATATTATTGCACACTGTGGAAATACCAGTATGTACAGTATATATATAGGTAAATACTAATCTGAAAGAAAACCTAAAAGAAAATCACAGTTTGCACGAAACTATTATTTGATACTTATCAGCTGATTTATATTTATCACATAGTTTATTTTATAAAATGTAAAATCTCTGCTCAGTACATAGCAGTAAGCCATCCTAATAAGTTGTTGAATATTTAAGGATATAAATAGTATTTCTCTCAAATGTCAGTATCAGTCAGGCTGTAGTAATTACAGGTGTCAGATAAAAGTAAACGTATAAAGTTGAATGACCTAGAAATAGTCAAATAAATCACGTTTCACCTCCGTCCATTCCACATATGTGTTATTATTGTTGATAAAAGATATTCACTCTTTTTGTCTCTTACAGTCTTGAGCACAGAAGCAGAGAGGCCCATTCGTGTTCAGTGGTACGCTGTGTACTTGTTTATGCATCCCTAATGTCCTTCTTTGATAAGATTACTTCTGGGACGTGGTTTTCTTCTGTCCTGTCCTTTATATACTGGTGAGCTTGTTGTTATATTTCCTGTGACTCTTTTCAGGAGCCGGTGAAAAGGGAAACTCGCACCGAGGGCGGCAGCACGAGTTATCCGTGCTCGTTTCAAGACTGCAAGGGAAAAGAATTGCTGCCAGTAATATGTCCGCAGTGTGAAAAACATTTCTGTTTGGCGTAGGTTTACAATTCTTTTCCTCACTTTCATTAACTTCTCTTAAACAACATAACTTGTGTTGACCTGTACAGTACATAGCTCATAGTTTCCATACAGAAAGAGTCAAAGGAAAGGGGGTTACTGCGTTGCCCCCAACTGAAACTGTAAGGTTAATGCGTCTTTTGTTGTTTGTTGATAGCCATCGTCATCAAGATGATCACAAGTGTGAGAAGTTGGAGGTCCAAAAGCCTCGAATGGCTGCCACAAAAGAGCTCGTGCAAAAGATTGTTGGTAAGTTTCAGTGTAGTTGATAGTCATTCCTTATTTGTCCACATGGGATCAGTGTAAGACAAAATGCTCTCATCGTTGTCATAACTGATATACATGTAGTTTTTTTTCTCCTCAACCTACTTACATCTGGTTTATGTTTGTGTGTCTCTTGTAACTACTCAGAGTCAAAGGACGGATCCAAAAGTAAAGGACGCAGAGGAGCAAAGAACAGTGCCACTGCAGCTAAGGTAGCATTAATGAAACTGAAGCTGCACGCTGCAGGAGACAAGGGACTACCACAGGTAAAATCCCACCTGCCTTGATCTTATTTGTAAATAGTAATGTAATAATAACTTTTCATGCTGACATAATTACATCTATAGTTTACCTCTGTGTTTCTTCTCTTTTTTTCTTTGGCTTTTCAGACAGAAAGAACTTATTTTCAGGTGTATCTTCCTAAAGAATCCAAAGACTCCAGTCTACCCATGTTTTTCTGTTCCAAATGGAGCGTGGGCAAAGTGGTGGATTATGCAGCATCTCTCGCCAGCCTCAAGAACAACAATAACATACTGACAGCTAAGGTAACAGATAGCAGTAGAGTCCCTCATAAACACAACATAGTATCACTAAATGACTGATCTGCTTCCCCCACCTCTCAGCCTACTTTCTTGTTACATGAACTACAATTTCTTCTCTTCTTCATAGCTTTCACTTCTTATATAAGAGTTTTTTTTTTTTTTAAAAAGAGGATATGAAATGCAGGTGTTAGTTATGAACAGTTTCCTGCTCTCAGCATGTGACTTTAGTGGGAAAGAACAGGAAGCTGGTTTAACTAGTGTGAAATGTTTTGCATATCAATTAAATTAATTAAAATTAAATGTTCTTCTATCAGTTGTCAGCAGCACTGGAAATTAACGACGTCCCATTGTCCCGGGATTAATAAAAATAGCACCTGGGACACAGAGATAAAGTGTCTGGGACGGTCAATAAATGTCTTATTACATTTATGCATCATGGAATATATCGTTTAAATTGTTTTCACAATGTGGTGAGATCTTTAATTAGCAAGAATGTTGCCAACTTGGCAAATTTCCTGCTTAGGTTTAGTGACATTTCAGATCCTCTTAGTGTCTTTATTTCTGAAAAGCAACAACAAATGTAACGACCAATCCATGCTGCTTAGAGTAATAGCAGTACACGGCTTTTCTGACAGTGCCGGGGTCTCTCCCTCTCCTCTTGTGCCGTGCATGAGCAGTCAGCGGGTGTGGAGCACGTTTGACCTTCTCTCTTTCTGTCTTCCTCTCCAGATCTTTGGATTAGCGTGGTCCTTTAGCCTATATGTAAATATAGTTTGTTTGAGCTTGTGAATATTTTAATAGTTCTCTCTGTTCTCCCTCTATTTGTAAATCGGTTTGCATTTTCACTGCAGATTCACACATTAGGTTTATTATATTATTTTCAGGTATTACATTTTTTTCAGTTACCATCACTTTTAATGTAGTTTACAGTCAATGATGTGTCTCTTAGTGATGCTTTAATTGCTTTTTAACAGAGGTTTCTTCTGCTTTCCCCCTGTTGTACCATCTTCTCTCCTTCTTTAAACCCATAAAACCAGTTTAGTCAAATAGCCGCTCCTTTTAATTCTTCATAACACAAAGCAATTCGGTATCTAATCTTAACAGTTTTATTCCAAGCATAATTAAGTTGTAAACAATGGAAAAAACAAAAAGCACAGCATTTCTTAACAGCGTGACTCTCTGCTCTCCACTTGCAGAAGCTGCGGTTATGTCACCCTCAGACAGGTGAGTCTTTCCGGATGGACGACACGCTGCTCTCGCTGCTGGCTCATCCAGAGTCTCCCCTGTACAACGGGGGTAACGTGATCCTGGAGTACCTGGACAATGAGTGCACAGGCCTGGAGGATGTTTCCGACTATATCAAACAGACCTGACAAACCAACAGCAGCCACTGTATTAATGGTATCTGTATGCTATTTGTATTTCTGTCAATAAAATGTTCTGTTGAAATATTTAACGTGGGGTCCTGTTACTGTCAAGGTTTTATTAAAATGTAGAGGTTTATGTTTAGGAGAAGAATGCAGTATGTTATTTCACATTACATACAATGTGCTGTACAAATCATGTGACATTATTAGTGTAATTCAATGCTGCTGCATTATAAATTACACCATTCAACATCCGGTTGTTCGACCCAGGTGGGACTTGAACCCACAATCCCCAGCTCCGGAGGCTGATGCCTTATCCATTAGGCCACTGGGCCGACGAGATAAGGAATTATATGCTTTTAATTTGATTTTAAATTAAGCAGGTGCGTGACTATAGTTAATTAACAGCAGTTTCTACTCGACTCCAATCTTATTTTCTTATTTTTGTGGATTTTATTTCGTTCATCAATAATCACTACATGCTTGAGGCTAGAATAAGTATTACATTAAATCAGCTCATTCCCTGCAATTTAGTCCAATGCAGGGTTACAATAACATTAAAATACATAGAATTACATAACACACAACACATAACAGATTAAATATCAAAACCAACACACATAAAACCTATAAAAACTGCTGTGCAAATAGTAAATTAGACCATTAAATAATGAATAAAGTAACATTAGATCCTGAACAAGTCGTGGCTATTTAAACTGCGTATTTTAATGCAGACTGAGAATACATGCATTTCTACGTGTTTTTTTATGGGTTTAACGTGACTGCTACAAAGCCCGGACTTAAAAGGAAATAAATAAAGAACATAAACACATTAAATACACGCAAAACAACCGTGAATGTGCAGCTCTTGTCGCAGCAGCAGCTGTGGTTGCGAGATAAACCCAGTCAAGACATTTGACACAACCCTAGCCTAGGGATCGACCGAGCACCTTTCGACCAATCACATTAGCCGCACGTTTGAGCGACAAGCCGCGCAGCCAATCACGAGAGCGCCTTCGCTTAAAAGTGGGCGTGTACGTACTTGCGCGACTATATATACACATAAACGTAAAGGGGCTGAGCGTACAGTCGACTCCGTTGTTTTGGTGCGAGTAGCTGTGTTTCTGAGGTGATACGACCGTACGCAGACTTCTTCCTCCACATTATTTAGACTAGGGTAGCTCGTCAGTTGCTACTTTTACCGATCGAGTCGCTTTGGGACAAAAAGCGACTTGATTTTAGCCGATACGAGCCCTCTTTTGTGAACTCAGGTCGAAAGGGATGCCGCTGCAGACAGACTCCGACGGACGCCAGCAGTCTTTGGATTTAATCTCGTCGCATTTGATCGGGAAAAGCAGTTTTTCTATAAATTTAAAAGGCCTCAGAATAACTCACCCTCGACCGAGTGCTTGTGTAAGATGTTTAAGCCGGAATTAAAAGCGTGAATGTGCCTATAAATACACATTTTAGTCCCTTCTTCTTCTCCTTGAGAGACGATAAATACGGGCGCTAGCTTAACTGCTACCGTTACAACAAAGCGGGATCGGTAATCTTTTTTTTTTATCCGCTTCGAGAAACGGAGAAGGGTCCTGACCTTTGAACCCGCCGCTGTGCAGACCCCGGGGGTGAACACACTGCTCGGTAAGGTTTTATTGTTTATGGATATTATTGTGAACCAGGAAGACTTGGGGTTGAACACGGTGGGGGGAGGGGCGGTGGTACACAGAAAGAGGAAACTGTGTTTTGACCTTAGTTAGGATTGGCCCTCACGGGGCGCTGTAGCCCCGTTTCTTGTTTGTTTATGTGCTTTATTTGTGTTTAGACTTTGTTAGTGAGCTTGTTATAATCAGTGTTCGGCTAGTTGTTTGTTACAAGTCTTATTTCTCTTAATTTATGCCTCTTAAATTAGGATAAACTCCATATTCTTACATATTTAAAACCACTAAAATGCGCCATTGTTTCTTTTTAATTTCTGTTTTGACTTCAGGGAATTCAGTATCATTATGAAATCAACATTAGCTGCAGGAGAGGAGGATATTTTGCAATCAACGCTGGCCCACATCAGTCATTTTGAGGGAAATATTCCCTGTTTCTTACTGTTTCCTCATTAAAATTGGGTATCTGTGTTATAATCTTTGACATACACAAACATCAGCTTATTTACTGAATGATGCACATAAGAGGGGATTTAAAAGTGGGTATATACCCAATAACGACTGGAAATAAATGAAGTTATACTCCATATACCTGCACTATTACTCCCTTATTAGTTACACTACTTGTTACCTTTTATTTATTAAGTGATAAAATGAGGGAGACGGATACAGATGCGTCCTCCTAAAGTGACTGTTGACTAACTTTAGCTCAATGTTTTCTTTTTCCACAGACGACAATGAAACTGTTGGAGAACTCCAGCTTTGAAGCCCTCAGCTCGCGGCTGTGTGTTGAAACGGGAGAGTCTCGCATCCTCGGCAGGTAAGCCTCGCGGCCATGGCAACACGAACACCTGAGCCCACTGCTGTAACACACACACACACACACACACACATTTATTTATATATATATATATATATATATATATATATATATATGTGTATATATATATATAAATGTGTGTGTGTGTGTTGTTACACAGTCGCAGGAACAAACAGGGATTGTAATGTCAGGGAGGAAATGGGATCTTTACGGACTCTTTGGGTCCTTTGTTTTACACTGGTCTGCCAACATCAGCTGTAGTTCACATGGCTTTGCACTCATTAGTCCTGGGGACGTTCATACACAGGTGTTATTATAGTTAACTAAAACTCAACTAAAATCTTTATTTAGGTGTGAAAAAGCCTTTTAGGCAACTAAAATAGAAATAAAAACTGAAACTATATTGTGTACTTGTAATAAATAATAGATAGGAAGTGTTTGTTTGTAGTCTTGGTCAATTTGGTTGCAATTTGTGAACACAACAAGCACAAAGAGGCGTTTGTACACATATTTACTGCGACTGTCAACATAATTGTAATGCCTCTGCTGAACTTCTTTAATTCAATTTTATTTATTTGTATAGCGCCAATTCATAACAGAAGTTATCTCAGGACACTTTTCGAATGGAGCAGGTCTAGACCGAACTCTTTAAAACTTTTAATCTTGCCCCTGACAAATATGACTCATATTATGATTTTATAAAAACACCAAAACAAAAACTAGACTGAAACTAAACTAAACCCACCCTGGAAACCACCTGAATCTAAACTATTGATCTGTAAAGACTCTGGTTTGTGCAGATAGCTTCACTTCGTCTGTGTCAGTAGTGCAGACTTAGTGATTCAACAGGAACATCAACACAGTGAAGTGCAGTGAGACAGCAGATGTTTATACCACAGTTAGAGAAAGTAAAAACCACCGGAGCTTGTGTGAGAATTTATTGTAAGCAACAACCAACTTGACTGACAAATTCCTTCACACAGAAAGAATCTTGTCCAGTATGCATTCCTCAAACGTGGATTGTAAGCGTACGAGAGGTGTGGCTGGTTCAGAGATCACCGACTCTGCTCGTAAACGAGGGCAGTGGAGCAAACAAGTGCCTGCACGTTATGCAATAATGGGATAAAAGGGCACTGGTCTCCACTGCTAGTTAATAGCTAACTGACAGTGCATGTTTTTGACTTAGCAGCAGTGTGTTTTAGGTTATGTAAGGCCTCCAGTTACAGCGACAGTGTGGTTACATAAAGGGCAGTGGGTTGTGGAGTTATGCAGCCCAGTCTGAGCGCCGGGTTCGGGAGTGTGGGAGGTGAAACCGAGCTTCTGTTACTGGTTGTGACCTGGAGTGACGCACAACACGGGGGTCCTCTCGCACCGCCACTCTGCGAGGCTATTTTGGAGGCTGTTGTTAAGTGTGTTATTGGCGCGCACGTACATGTACACATAAACACATACAGAAATACTGCATGATAGCTGAGTGCTGCCAAGGCTGCTGGTGTTTAGGCTGCTTAGTGGATTAGTGAGGCAGCCCATGATAGCAGCAGGACTTGCAAGCTGCACTAAAAATGTACCCTCCCGGCTTCCAGCAGGTTCTTGGTGTTTTCTACAGATGAGCTTTTGATTTTGCATTTAGGAATTGAATTAAATAACAATAACAACAAAAACAGTAATAATCAACTTTATTTGTGCTCTCTGTGAGGGTTATTTGTTTGGTGCAGAACTCAACAATAAAGTAATACATAAAATAGCTATTCCAATAATAACTAAACACATAAAAACACAAATAAATCTGTAAGCAAGCGGTGGTTAGAGTTGTGAGCAGATGTCAACAGAGCGCGTTGCTGTTGTAGCTTCTTTAAAAATAATCTTTTAGTGTTGATAGTCTTCGCTCGGCTCTGGTGTCTGCCGTGTCATTCGGTTACCAGTGGTGTTTTGTCGACAGGTCAGCTGTGTTGCGGATGGAAAACCAGGCCAGTTATTTCCACTGTGGTGTCGCTGCCACCCAATGTCTCTATAATTAGGCTGGCAGGGCAAGCGAGGGTCTCAGTAGTCTCTCTTAAGTTGCACAACCTTTAGCTCTTGCATAACTCCGAGATGAGAGGGTGCAAAACAAACAACCGCACACCAGCCTGCTCCACTCGCATATCTGTATTCAGTGGAGTCTGACCCAGAAACACGAAAGTGCACGCAGCACATTTTAGCACCGACTTGTTCTCGTCAGGTGTTTGTGCAGATATGGCCCCCGGGGGAAAGACGAGTACTGTCGTGTCAAACAGAGTTATGGGCTGTAGAGGTCCTGCAGACAGTGTTTCAGTGTTTGGAACAACAATCAATCTACAGTAGAGAAAGTTGTGGATACAAATTAGATTATTATGTTTCATGTAATATGTCATTTTAATTTAGTTTAGGTGTTTAAAAGTGGCACCGGCATGAGCTAGTTCAGTTTAATTCAGTAATTTTATTCTCTGAAAGGAAACTTGTTCTGCAGTCAGAGGCACAAACCTAAAAAAGTACAGACAAAAACACAAAAGTCCTCCATAATACAATACATACAATAAATAAAGTAACCCATAATGCAACAGCAAATGATGTGCAAGATGCTAAAATATCTATACACTATGTCACACACCAGAATCAGTCATAGAGAGCGTCAACAACTTCATTTAGTAACTTTTCAGATCATCTCAACATCTTTTATTTCTATAAAGTGAGCAGAGACGTTTCAGACCATCAGGGAAAAGGCTGAATAATATATTATTTTAACTAATTCATTTCCACACTTGCTGCTGAGAGTAATCTCAGTCCACAGCCAGGGTCTCTCCCGCTCCTCTTGTGTCGTGTGCAGGCCGTCAGTTCCTTTAGTTTATATGTAAATCATCTAGTTTTGTTCATTTAATTTTGTCCCTTTGGAAATATGCGATCTCCCTGTAGTGAGTTCGAGATTATTTGGTTAAATGATGATAATGTGCATAATGATAATGAATGATTATAATGAAAACTGATAGACAAACACAGAGGGGGATTAGTTTTATTCAGATATGTGGAGGGAATTACTGCATTCATTATGTAGATTAAAAAAACATTACATTTGGGACAACAGTTATTTAGTCTGAGACATTTGTGGAAGTCAGATCTGATTTTCCCAAATAACGCTGCACACTCTCAAAAGTGAGGTAACCTCACTGCTGCTGTTCCTATAATATTTTAGTATCCTGTTGTATTTAATTTATTATAACATCTGTGGCTAGAGGAGTAAAATTGTTTTATGTATTCGATGAAAAGCATTTAAAATTCCTGCGAAGTGGCCCCGATGTGTTGTGTAAATGTGTTTTAAGCCTAATGGGCCATTAAAGTATTCGTCAGGGATTAGCGAACCTCTCCTCCATTATGGCTTTTATTTAACACACTATCGTTGTTTTTCCTGCAGGATGGAGAGCTACTCCTGTAAGATGGCAGGGGACGACAAACACATGTTCAAGCAGTTCTGCCAGGAGGGGGAGCCACACGTCCTGGAGGCCCTCTCTCCCCCTCAGTCCACCAGCGCCACCAGCCCTTCACAGTGAGTACTGCGAGCTCAGGGTGGTTTGTGGTCACAGGACTCGGTCAGAAAGAGGTGGTTAATATTTCTCTGTGCCTCTCTTTGTGTGTTGCGGTGCAGGCTGGGGAAGAGCAGCGAGGACGGGGAGAACCCTCTGAGTGACAAGTGTTGCAGGAAGACTCTTTTCTACCTCATCACAACGCTCAACGAGTCCTTCAGGCCGGACTATGACTTCAGCGCCGCGCGGGCCCACGAGTTCAGCAGGGAGCCCAGCCTCAACTGGGTCAGTCTGCTGTTCTGTGGCCGAGTCTGAACCTCTGGAGCAGTACATTTTAATGATAATTAATAATAATTATGATTTCTCTGCAGGTTGCTAACGCAGTAAACGGCAGCTTGTTCTCAGCTGTGGGGGAGGAGTTCAACTCTCTGGGGCCGGAGCTGTGGAACGCCATCGACCAAGAGATCAACCTGCAGGGCTGTGACATTTACAGGTGTGTTACATAGCAGCGACTTGAGAATGATTCTGGTGTTGAGTTGAGACGTTTTTAAGCTTTATGTCTTTTTATGTTTGTTCGTAGCTACAATCCCGATCTGGACTCGGACCCTTTTGGTGAAGAAGGGAGTCTCTGGTCCTTCAACTACTTCTTCTACAACAAGAAACTGAAGAGGATTGTATTCTTCACATGTCGCTCAGTCAGGTCAGCACAGAGCCATTAAAGTTCCATAATACAGATAAATAATGTATTTTATTTATCATTTATTGAGGTATTTATAAACTTATTGTTTAGTGAACCTGAAGGTTTGTTCATTTATTTATTATTACTACTCATTTAGTTATTAACTTAAGTGTTATATGTCTATCCCCCTTTTTTTTATTCATCTTAAGTGTTTTTCCATAAATGTTTTGATTAATCTGTAAGTAATATAACGTCTTTATTATTATTTTTATTATTATTTAGCTTGTTGGATCTGATGATATTTGTTCTGGTGGTGTGGGTTTAATTTTGTATTTTGTGTTAGTGTTATTGTTTTTGTGTGTTAAGTTATGTTGGGTTTTTGTGAAATAAATAAATAAATAAAAACACTCTTATTGACAAATGACTAATCCAACAAAAGTTGTGCACACATCTGACCGTGTGTTGATCTTTCTTTAGCGTCCTGAGTGGCTACGGCCGCGATTGTCTCGACAACGAGCTGGACATGGAGCTGGATGACGAGGAGGAGATGGACGGCTTCACTGAGGACAGGTGAGACTCATTATCATACGCTGGTTTTCCTTCATTAACAACAATAAAGTGTTTCTGTGACGAAAGACACATTTTAATAAGTTTAATATTTGTCTTTGTTTCTCCCAGGTTCCCCAGAGCTCTGTGCGTGTGAATTCCCCCGATGGACACGCCTCAGCCAAAGAATATCTAGGCTTTTCCTCCTCTCTTCCATTTTTCGCCCCATATTCCTTTTTTTGTTGTTGTTTTTGAGATTTCGCCTCATCCAAAGCCATTTTCACACATTAAACTAGTGCATGTTTGAAGGCTTCTCTTCCGCTGGCAGTGAAGTGTGTGGACCGCGAGGCGGTGGACATTTTGTAAAGACCCCGCGGTAACTTTTAAGCTCCTTCATTCTCCAGTATGTTTTGGTTTCTTTTTATATTTTTGAAGCTCTAAGCCCAAACAGCACACATATATACTCACAGGCTTCTCCACACCTGCCACACTTTCCAAAGAGACCACTTCATGAACACTTGAGAAGAAGAAGAAGGTCTTGTTAACGGATGAGTGGCCAACAAAGACTGCAAATGATGTCAAAAAAAGTCCAGATAACACCAGCATCAATGAGAACTGACACAGATTTATGATATTCCAACATGGGCTGAGCTGAGTCCCTGAACGCACCAGTTCGGGACTGACTCTCCGATCAGCTGAGAACTCATCTGTTGTTCATTGTTTGCTATTTTTTGTGTGTTGATTTTTATGTGACAGTGACGTTACTGTGAGAATGTTTTTAGCACTGAGTTTGAAATCTAAAAAAAAAAACCGCTGCATTTATATCTGAAACTTGTGTTATTGAATCTTATCATTAACGCTCGTCTGTACTTCTTTAGACAGTAGGGGCATTGCCAAGGAAACCATTGGCACCTGGGTTGCAGCTTAGAAAACGTATCAGCTTTTAACAGATGTCCCATTGTTTTCTTCTCAATCCACTATTTTCCGATTCCATGATTCATTTTATACGTCGTTTAAATCCAGTATTTTTTCACTGTGCCCCCCCCCCCCAACTCGTTCCCAGTTAACCCTGATTTCTAAATGTTGGTCTTGCCAGTGTTTTTCTTTGCTCATTACCTCAGTGCAAAGGCTTCATTGAAAAGTGAATGTATAGTTCAGTTTAGAGGAAAAAAACGGCAGTTATGTTTTACTTTTTATTTTCTAGAAATCGAGAAGCTCCTCTTATGTTCCTTACAAAGTGGGTAGGAGTTCTGTGACTTTTCTTGACTGCTCTGTGCTTCGTTTAATCGGCCGATATATTGCAGATGTGAATAAACTGGTGTTTGAATCAGACTTTCACTTTGTTCTTCTTCATAAACTGTGAAATGATCTCTTTTCTAGTGGAAAAAGGGAACATTTTAGAGTATCTAGAAATACAGGCTGAAAAAACTATTCAGGCTCAAAGTTCAAAACAAACTTTTATTGAAAACAAAAGTGAAATACAGTACATGACCCAGACTAAACATCACCACACTGAGAGGACATGATCAGTTCCCTTGCTTTGTGAGAGCTGTAAACCTTTAATGCTGCAAAGAGTCTGGGGTCTGCACAGTTCACCCTTTAAAGTACAGACCCAGAGGCACCTCCCTGACCAAGATGGACACCACTTCAGTGAAACTCATGCACCCTTCCTCCTTTTTGGCCACTGTGGAACTTGCTTAAAAAGGTATACATGGTTTCAAAGTGACATGTGCATAGATCTGTCGCCAAGGAATTCTTTATACGGGGGTCAAAGATCATGAGCAGATTCACACACACACACACAGTCCTCCAGACACACAACAGCATGGTTAAGGCTGAGGATCAAGTATTGGTAACTTGTATGATGGCCAAAATATGAGTTAAGATCATCTTGGTGCTACTGAACCACAGAACGACTCTAGTCCGGGCGGCTCTCAAGTAACAACTTCCCCATAAATGTGTGGCACCTATCTGACGGTGGCTTATTCTGATCCCTTTGTTTAAAAAGTACAAAATGTTTTAAAGAGGAATACGCGCCAAAATGGCTGCAGAAAACTAACGAGGTGTTAATATGAGGGTGCAGTGGCTCAGTCACACACACACACACACACACGCTTGCAGAGCACCAGTCGTCCGTTAATACAAAACAAGTTCAACTTGCATTGAGCAAACCTGCAGAAAAAAAAAAAGCTATAAAAAGCAAGAATTAAATGAATAAAATTAAATAAAAACCACAACGCAAACACAAAACAGTGTTTAAAATGAAAATACTGTTGTTAAAACTTTGTACCTGCATTTGAAATAATGACGTTTCAGCCATTCAATGCAAAATTAAACAAATAGCCGACGTACTTTCCTTTTTCTCCAGAGGATCAGTTTGTTTGTTTTTTTTTTATAAAAAAGGAAAAAGTTTGCATGCCGACACTCTTGAATCTACACCATGTGGCTCAATAACATACAAGTACAGGCTCAAAGTTAATAAGAAGGGAGATTCGTATTTGACCACGTTGTTTCAATAACGGCACCATTTAGTTCAAGCGTGAGAACAACCACCGACAATGTAGCTTATGAAACTGAAATCATGTGTAACAGATATCAAATCGCTGTGCTAAAAGTGACAACTGGAATAAAAAAAAAAAATAATGACAACATTATTCTAGAAAAAAAAAAAAAACACTGAGTGTCCCATTCAAACTCATCTTACAATACTGCTTGTAAATCCCTCAAATTTTTACCTGATCATGAACAAACTTATATATGGAGGCAAAAATAATAATAACAATAGAGCTGTGCCACGTTTTTCTCAAAGCTGGGCACCAACGTGATGTTTATGGCATACATGATATGGTGTAATGTAACATGATATGTATGTAGTGTAAATGAGTGCCCGGTGCAGCCCTGCTCTGCACTCGGAAAAACTCTTAACTTGAGTCCTGCCGAAATGATTTTCCTTCTCCTCCTTTCTCCCTCCTCCTTCCAACAACCAGGTCAGTTCATTAGTTCTGGTTTTCCGCCTCCGCTGTTAACAATTAAGCCGTGGAAAGGTTCAACGCTCCCGTCCTGTGCCGTCTCCGGAGGTCAACGTCAATTAAAATTCATCATTTTTAAAAAAATAAGGTTAAGGACAAGCTGTTGTGCCACCGTGCGGGTGGTGCAGGTAGTCAGGCCGTCGACGGCGGAGGGAGGGGCTATCTGAGTCCAGCCCTCGAGGTCATCCACTCAAGTCCTTGACATAAACTGGAGGGACAATGAAGATGTGTTAGCAGAGGAAAAATAAACATCATTTATAAAAAGGTCACTGCTGCTATTGTCATCTCATACGAGGGTCACTTTAATGTTTTAAGTACTTTGAGAAAGTGTAATATCCTGAAAATATTTCCATTACTAACATCATATTTATAAAAACAACAATGCAAACAGCATTGGTTTATATTATATTTGTTATTTGCAACCAAACAAACATTCTCTTCTTATGAACTGCACACATTTACAGGCACCTTCACCTTTATTTTACACAAACTAAAAACGCTTTTAAAAGTAGAACTGTGTGTTTATTTTAATTGTATGTGACGAGTGAGTTTAAATTAAACCTGAAACAACTAGAAAAACATTTAAAAAAACCCCCAATGATCTCAAGGGTTTACATTATATTACATTCTTGACATCAGACACCGGATGGACGGACTTTAGACAGACAGATTTCAAAAGGTGCTTCAATAACTTCCATTGTTTTAATATGTGGCTGTTTTTCTTTCTGTTTGTTTCCTGTTGTTTTAAACTCAAACAGTGACATCTGGTGGTTTACAGAGCTCACAGCAGCCCTTTAAGACGAGTCTCAACTCCCAGTTTCAACCTCAAATATGTGCAAATAAAAAGTGTTTTTTTATTAAATCTATTATATGTTTTTGTTCTGAAGAGGAGCAGTAAATACACACACTTTTGTGCAATATGCTACAATAAACAAACAAATAAAAGCCTCATCCACAATGTGATTAACATGAAATATGAATGTACCCTGATGGTGTGGTGTAGTCAGTGTCCATTCAACATATTATATGAACCACAGTGTAATGTGATCATATTCATTGTATCTCACATTGCTTAGTAACACAATCAGGTATTTCCATACTTATGATTGCGCCGTTCCCGTGAACATTATCTCTCTATTATTCTCCTCTCTTCTTATCCTACTTATGTAATAAAAACTTCAGTTCAAACTGAATGAAGCACTTTTCTTCAGCCATGAGGGATTTTATTAAAACCAGCTTCAGTGCCTCGATATATTCTGTAAACTACAACATATGAGATACATACAGGGTTCCCTCCGTCCCTCAATCTTTTCTTGCTCACAACAGTCGGCCGAGTGACACATTTAACTTTAATTTCCATGCAGTTGATCCTACAAACAGTCGAGTTTCAAACTAAATCTGATTCAGTTATAATACGCACCCAGGTTTATGTATAATATATCGACATAATCTGAGTGAGGAGGTAAAATACAATTCAGATTTTCCAGGTCAACATAAAATATTTCAAGGATATTTGGTCATTTTAAATTAATTTCCAGGTTTTTTTCCCACGTTTTCCACGACAAATTCAAGATTTCACAAAAGCAACAACTTCTGAATCTGTATCACTGATTATGACTCCAAGTCTGTTATTAACATATATCTTACATTGCTGCATGTCATCCCCTCTCCCCCTCTCTCCCTCTCTCTCCCTCCCATCCCAACCCACCCACCTTCCTGTCAATCTTCGGCTGCTTCTTTTCTAATAACGGCAATAATAACATATCTCCCTCTTACCCCTCTCCTGTAAGTGCACAGCAGGACTGTATGTGCCAGGGGTGGTCTTTGATGGAGCTCAGGGTGAGGTATTTGGAGATCTCCGCTGCAGACATACAGTCCTTCATATCCTGCTTATTGGCAAATATCAACACAGCTGCTTTCCGTAGGTCCTGAGGGGAGAGCGGAGAGAACAATGAAACCATAAACAATGTAGAAGGGTGGAAAGGGCCAACCTTGGTGGAAACAAATCAATGTCCACTATAAAAACAGAGTCAGTTCTGTGTAGTCTGTTTCCTTAAGGCCGAACAAACAGAGGTGTTAAGACGTTACCTCGTGAGCCAGCATCCGGTAGAGCTCCTCTTTAGAGATGACCAGCCTCTCTCTGTCTGTGCTGTCCACCACCAGAATGATGAACTGCGGGGAAGGAGGCAAAAAAAGAATTAAAAAAAAAAATCACACTGAGTGACTTCTTTTCAAACATTTTACAGCAATGAAATGCGACACAGCGGGGCGGGCATTTCCGGGCCAAGGGCCTCACAAAAGAGTACTGGTGACTGCTATGCTAATAGCCCCTTTGTGAAAGAGAGAGAGTGACCCTGTATGACAAAAGGCTAACAGGCACGTTCGTTGTGGGGAGATGTGCGAGACGCCGTTTAAACCAAACGACCCAGGAAAAAGCAGCGTTTGAACAACACGCGTCGACCGACATGACTGTGACCCAAATCACTGCCAGAGACTTACACGAGCCTGACACCGCTTCAGTGACAAAGAGTGGAGTTACTATAGTGATGGTCTATAGGGTTACTATGATATATGGTTCCTATAGTAACCGTAGGGATTAACTCTATTGTAATAGGTATTTAGAGGTTTCTAGAGTTCACTGCCATAAATCTACGCAAACATTGGTTGAGTATATGAGTGAACACTATTCTAATACGTTTATCAATTATTAAGCAGCTGGGACTGATGGTTGCAACTGAAAATAGTGGGGCTGCAATAAATCATTTTCTCAATTAATTGATTAATCGTTTATTAACTTTTAAGAAGATGACAGTTGAAAAAATACCATTTACAATGTTAATTTGCTTGTTTTGTCCGGAATAAAACCTAAAAGATGTTAAATTTATTGTCATATGTGACAAAGAACAGGAGCAAATCTTCATTAGCTTGAAAAAAAAGTCTAATAGATTTTCTGTCAATCGACTAATCGTTAAGAAAATAGTAAAAAAGGTTTTTAAATGTGTTAAGCACTCATAAACCAAGTGATATCCAGTTTACTGTCACATACGACACAGAAATGCAGTAAATCCTACTAACAAACAACTAAGAGCCTGGAACTGGAGAAAAATGTGTTTTTCCTTTAAAAATGACAGAAATAGCTGCTGAATAATACTTTTTGTTCCAGCCTGCAGATGAAACATAGCGATGCTCTTTAGCAGAGGCGTGTGAGAGAGCAAGAGTTGAGGAGTCGGGTCATGTGTAAATGGATGTGGCCCTGCCTTTACTTGTGACCTGTTGTGTGGTATGAATGCACAAATGCGGGTTAAACCCACGCTGAATACCACATGTCAGGGTTCTGCGTGTGAAAGACGAATGAATGTTGTTGTGAAACTACAGGAGGAAAAAAAGAAAAGTGGCTGGCAGATGTCTCATCGGGAAAAAGTTTTAATTCACGTGTTTTCTCTCTTTAAAAAGATCTCCCACACATCTGCCTCTGCCACGACTCTTCTCCTGTTCTTCTTTTCCAAAAAGAAACGCTGCGGAGGCTGACCCTCGCTTTGCTTTTCAGACAGGCCCCTTTGTGAAAGGCTGACCTCTGACTCTGGGCGGCCCCTGCTGCCGTCTGTGCTCTGAACAAACACACCAGCTGCCAGAAAACCCGCCGCCGCTGCTGGACAATACCTCATCAAAAAGAGTGAACAGAGTGTGTTGCTCACCTCTGTGTTGGAGTAGTAGGTGTTCCAGGAGGACCGGAGCGACTCCTGCCCGCCTATGTCCCACATCAGGAAGTGGGTGTTCTTCACCACTATTTCTTCCACGTTGCTTCCGATGGTGGGCGACGTGTGGACCACCTCATTCATCAGACTTTTAATAAAAAACAGACATCGTAACGTGAGCTGAGACGCCGTGAAGGAGAAGAGGAAGGTTGAATGTGAAAATGAAACTTACAATTGGTAGAGGATAGTGGTTTTCCCTGCGTTGTCTAGTCCAACGATAATCACCTTGTGCTCTGGAAAACAAACACAGTAAATGAACGGTTTGACTTCCCAGATGTGCAGAAATAAACAACCTTCAAGAAGACATTGTTGTGGAGAAACTACTCTCAGTCGCTGTATCATAAAGTATATATATGGCTTCGGTCTATACAATGCATTCCCGTCATTCATTGCTGCCCTCAGAAACATAAAGTCTTCCTTCCTGACCTAACTTTTCCAAGTTAACTTCTTTCCATTCATAAACACCAGCTAGCACAGTCGAGGCTCTGACGGCTGTCAAGAGGTCAAACAGAACAGCCTAAATGCAGAATCGAAGCCGACACCGACGTGCCAAAATATCCCACTTCAGTGTTTCTGACTCTTTCTGCCCTTTTGAGGCCTCTGGCTGCCGAGGAGGAAGGAAGTCTGGTCAGAGGGCTCGCAAGTTCGGACAACCTCTGTGCTGCACACTGGGTTCTGGAGGACGCTGCTTGTCTATTGCTTCCTGAAAGAGGAGCTTCCCCGCGACGATCCTGACAGCACAACTGAGCCGATCGTCGACCGTTCACCACTACAATATGTGCATTTTAAATGCTGTGATAAATAGGACATGAATATAGAAGTCTTCAGTATAAAGTCTAATGTCTGTTGCACAGTGGAAAAACATTATTACTCCAGCTCTACTAACACAGGTTTGGTCAGATTCCTTTGAAATGATACGATATCAATGATTTATTCCAGTGGATTAATTAATAATAGTTATCTAAGCAGAAGACTTCAAAAAAACAATAATGGGTTTCTTCTACCACAAAGTAATTCACTTTTTAAAGTATAATAAGATACTGCATCGCTCAGTTTAAGAGCTTGTTCTTCAGCCTCAGAATAAAAGCAATGCAAACAACATCAACACATTTAACTGACTACCAGTACTTTGGGTCTAGTTGTTTTTCAGGTAATCTAATTACAGTGTTGATGACATGCAATTAGCTCCCCCCTCTCTGTTGTGAACTACTCCACTCAGACCTCGCCTGTAATCTCTTAAAAGTGAATGAAACTTGACACTGAGCGGCGTAATGTAGAAGTGGGGAATGACAATCGTTCTCAGCTAAACTCAGCTCGGGGACAATGCCACACAGACCAAAGGAACTGAGAGATTAAAGGGATTCGTATAAATTCACCATCAAATGAGAATAATTTGGAGTAGAGCAGAATATGAAAACGCTTAGTCAGGTTTTCTTTTGTGCAGCCTGAAATAAAACCAGATCGTTTATTAATCATCTGCAGCTCGAAAACTCTCTTTTTTTCTTCATTACAGCGACAGAATATCACTCACAAGAAGAATAAAGGAGAAAAGTGCAGCATGAAACCAGGAAAATGTGGCTGAACACGTCAAAAATCAAACACAACCATATCAAGCCCCCTGCTACATTTCACACCTTTGTAAAAATAGGGCTGCACAATATGGTAAACACATCATATTAAGATCATTTTGACAGATTGCAATATGATTCACGATTTAATCTTCACTGAAAATCACCATGATGTGTTGAAAACGTGTTTTCTTAAATTGTGGAGGAGATTTGAAGGCCAGAGCATCTCTGCAGCCTTAAAGTACTTTATTATAAAGCTGTTTTCAGTCAGATATTTTACATTTTAACTGTGCAGCCCCTCGTAAAAACCCAGTAAAATAAAGCTGAATACTTTATTACTACCAACATGAACTCCTTTACTGTGTAACCTGCAGCTACATGTAACACCTCCCCAGTATCTCACACACATATGGTTAAAAAGGGAGGGATTAACTAGGATCTCTTTTCTCCTCCTTTTAATCTCTGTTGTTATTACAGCTCCTTTGTTTTTGTCCACCTACAAACAAACAAACAAACAAACAAACAAACAATCCGAGTGAGAGTTGTGTACATTAAACACAGCTTCCTCTAGAAAGGGAGTTATGTAACGTGTCCTGGAGACGCGAGGTAAAGCTGATTGACTGGATCTTTTGCAGGCTTACTGTGATTCAATCAGGTTGATCGATAAACTGATTAACGGATTACCCATCAGAGACGGGCTGCTAGTGGAGATACAGACTGTAGTGTACATTGTTTTGCTTTGAGGGGAAGCCTGGGTCTTTTAAGTCACATGCTAACAGCTCAGCCCGTAGGTTAGAGAGCCGATACCCACCTTGGTTGCAGAAGAAGCTCCACAGTTTGGCGAATATGAGGCCCATTGTTGAACAGGGGGGTGGGGGGGGGGTCCGTCCGTGTGTCTGTCAGCAGCACCGAGCTTCTCCTCTCTCTCTGGTCCGTGGCTGGCCGCGGCGAGCTAACATTAGCCGGACGATCTCTTAAACACACCTCGGGGAGCTCTTCGACGCGGACTCCATGCGCTGCATGTAACACGCAGCTGACGCGGGGGTAAAGCGGTGCAGGAGGGGCATTGGGTGGTGGGGTGGGTGGTGGGGGGGTAGTTATTATTGGGTGTTGTTTAAGTAAAAGAAAAAAGAAAGAGGACACAGGGAGGAGGAGTGGAGGCGCTGTGTTGGTGCTGCTCCTTCTGCCCGATAGCTCGCTGCTCTGGCGGTGGTACGGAGAAAACAGCAACCCCAGCTATTCGGCTATCTTCCGGTTGCGTGATGACGTAGGACGTAAACAACAGCTCATTTATCAGTAATAGTTGTGTTTATTTATTTATTGTTAATTATTGTGTTGTTTTGGAAAATATATGTTTACATGCACAATATAAATCGTATTTTTTTAAATTTTATTTTATTATTTACTTGTTTTGAAACTATTTTGCTGTAAACAAAGTAAAATATTAAAGATGTTTTTTTTTTTTTTTTGGTTTTTAACTTTTATTATTTATTGATTTATTTTTATTTTTGTACTTATAGCAACAACTGTCACTGTAACTCGAGCACATTTAACACAGTTTGGGTCAGATTAATTCAAAATGTGTTTATGTTACTGAGAACAAATCAGATTAATTAGTTAGTTTATATTAGCAATCAATGATTTATGCCAGTGGGTGAGACATTGTTAAAATATTAACAATATTACCAGAGGGAAAATGCTAATTTACAGGCAGGTAACTATGTTTAAAATGGATATTTTGGTCTCCTACCACAACACAGTGCACAATGAAAAAGGTCTCAGGCTTAAGAGCTTGTTGTCCTGTTGCACACGCTGCATCAAAATGCAAAACACTTTATTTTATTTATTGTATGAACATGTAATAAATGGTTTCTAATGCATTATAACGTTATTTTAAGCAGATATTATTATTTATTAATGTATTTGTCAACTCTTCCCATGGTTACCCATAACTGTATAACAGATAATTAATGTTAATACAATAAAACACCGCTTTAATAATATAAATATGTCTCTATATCTGCTTAAAACTACATTAGAGTGTAAAATAAATAATAATAAATATATTTAATGTGTAAACTAATGTGAATATAAATGCTTAAATAAACATTTACTTATTTTCTGTAAAACATATTTAATCTAAAACAACACTCGCACCTTGTATATGTAAATAAAACACACATATATCATACAGGTGTGTGTGTGTGTGTGTGTGTGTGTGTGTGTGTGTGTGTGTGTGTGTGTGTGTGTGTGTGATCTCAACTAATGTCATGTGACCAAGCTAGTGACGTGTGCGGAAGTAAAATAGCACAGGGCACGCAGAGGCAGAACGTGAGTACTTAATGATTATTAAAACAACTTTTACATCACTATTACGGCCGGAATAGACTATTAATTCAATCGATCACTTATTAATTATGAGTGTGAATAATAACGCGTGTTGGACGTAAAGTAGCTCTGATATAAATTATTGTTTAATGTTGGATGAGAGGGTATTTTTCTCAGGTTTACACTGCTATATTTATTATGTTATTTTAATATCTTATATTTAATTCAGATAAAGCCAATAATAGAATAAATAATAGTCAACTTGCTGTCTCCTAAAAACAGTTAAATCGTTTTATTAAAATGTTTTATTCTGTGCTGTTCATTTCCTTTAAATATATTTATTATATTCATGTTTTGTACTGTTATTATTAGTTTATTTAAATGTTTATTTGCATTGGAGTAAACATGAACTATTACACAGACGTCAGGCTCTGTACTATGAGAATAAACCACAGTAATCAATGCAAAGAAGTGTCGTTCTTCTTCGATTATCCACCAAAATGTAAAGAAGTGTTAACCATAATGGGGTTATAACTTCATCCAATCAACATCAGAGGTCTCCAGACTGTAATCACACTCTCCTTCTGCCTTCATCCACCCTGATTTACTTTATTTCCTTTGCACAGGTTGAAGAAATGTCTGTTTTTCCCAAGATTTCTCTGAAGCCCGAAGTGGCTGATTTTCTCAAGAGTGTCTTCGTAAACAAGGAGGTATGAAATCAAACATACTCCTTAAGAGGCAGTTTCTCTCTTCTGGAGAGTCGTAACTACGCCTCGTGAAAAAAGAAACGTCGTCTTCTCTTTGTAGTTAAGATTTTAGATTAAAACCCTCCTTAAGAAACCTCTGATTTCCCACCACAATGTTAATATCTTATGTCTAGAATGTCTTTTAGATTTTCCTTCACATTTTATATTATTATATTCCCCCACACAGTTGTCTTAGGGCTCTTTCATAGCTTGTTTTTTTGCATAAAAACAGACTAATTAAATAATACTGACTCTGATAAAAGCCAAAATCAGCCCTAGAAAATGTCCTTGCTGTCCTCAGTGGTTGTTATAGTCCTGAAAACTATATATTCTGTTTAATATTCTGACCTGAATGATGTTAGTTCAGGTGGAAGTTATGTTATTTTCTGTTTTAGGGCTATTTTTTGTATTTAGTTGACAAAAATACTATTAAGTCTTTGTTGAAATCAATAAAGTTCCTGAAGGTTTTCTAATAAATTTTCTCAGCACATTAATTTCTCTTTGTCTGTTTGTCTGTTTGTTTGTGTGTTGCGTTCAGGTGTTGGCTGCGGTGGACCATCAGGTGGCAGAGTGTCGCTTCCAGAAGCTGCTCACATGCCTGTCTCACCCTCCTTCGTACACTTGTGTCCGGGCCAGCACACATCTGGCTCCGCTGGAAGAGATCAGACACAAGTTAGGAGAGGAGCTGAAAAAGGTAAATCTCTGTCTTAAGAGTAAAGCTCTTATTTGAGGTTTTGTTTCTGCGTGTTGTTGTTGTTGTTCGTGGTGCTCAGTGGAGTCCTAATCATTCATATGTTGTTGTTGTATGAAGCAGCAGATGTGCAGCTCATCAGCAGAGGAGGTCTCCGTTCAGATTCTTCCTCACCCGCGAATTCCAGATGTGCTGCTCCTTCCTGTCGACGGCCCGAGGTATGTGAGGAATGCTGGAGCAACGTCAGACTGACTCTGACTCTGTGAAATTGCACGCTCGGCCTTAAACTGCAGCATCAGTCTGACCGCTGGGCGGGTGTTTCCTCGGGCCGAGTCCAGACAGAAATAAGTCTGACATCGTTCACCAATTCCAGTCATGTACTCAGAACAACAAAGATCTTCTGATCTGTTCTTGTTTTAGGGGTGTTTGAGTGAGTCGAGGGTGGGTTTTTACACACGACTTTTATTAGTATAGCACCAAATCATAACAGAAGTTATCTCAAGACAGTCTATCTATCTATCTATCTATCTATCCATCTATCTATCTATCTATCTATCTATCTATCTATCTATCTATCTATCTATCTATCTATCTATCTATCTATCTATCTATTCACTCTCACAAGTGTCAGGGAGAAGAAAACACAGAATCTGTCAAAAAAGAAGGATGTTATGTATGATTAACATTACATTAAGTCTGTATGATTGTTAAAAGATATCATAATTCAGACAGAATTGTATAAAAAGTTCCTAAAAATATCAAGAAAGCTCATCTCTGATCAATATTTACAGGAAATAATCTGTTAAAAATTCATCCAAATTGCTCGTTTTACACAAACTTCCTGCAGTTCTTGCGTTCACTGTTTGGGTTCATTGTACAGTTTGATCATTGATCATTGATCAGTTGATCAGTTGTTCTGTTACTGTTATTGTTACTGTATTGAATATAATATGAAATATCCATAAAATATGTCACTTAGTCAGTCGTCAGTTCACTCAATGATAGAAAAGAGGATCCCTTAAAGGAAAAAGGTTGGGAATCACTGATCTGGAGCGTACTGGACCTAACAGTTCCCTCCATGAGCAAGCACCTGGCAACAGTGGGAAGGAAAGAGCATAACAACAAAATAAATAAGAGCTCATGGGAATTTTCTCATAAAGAAACAAAATATTGCACATAATAACATAAAGTAATTATAAGAGATCTTTCTCACTGGCCAAATACATTTTTTTTCCCAGCTGGAAAACCTTTAAGAGGCAGAAACCTCGAGCAGACCCTGGCTCATTTTGAAACAAGTGTACACAGAAATACAGAGACCTGAGACAAAGGAAATATCCGTTCAGTCCAAGAACATCAGGTGTTTGACTTCCTCTCTCCTCTCTCGCACTCTCAGACCCGTGGAGCCGCTCAGCTCGGAGGTGGTGGTCGATGCTCAGTGTGGCAGTGCTGTGCTGAGAGGAGCTCATGTCTTCGCCCCAGGGATCGTCGCCAGCCCAAAGTGTAAGACTATTAAAGTTAGTCGAAAATTATCAATCAACTTCACGGTGCTTTTATTTTGTTGATTGTGACTTGAAATCTACCCAACAGTCATGAAGACTGGAGATCTGGTGTCTGTGTTCTCTGACTTGGAGGGTAAGTGCACCCGAGCGGCCACGAGCTTCCAGGGAAAGAGAGTGTTTGTGGGAAATGGAGTCGCTCAGATGGACCGCTTCAGCCTCTTCTGCACAGACAAACCTGCCAAGTGAGTAAACTCAATGTGCAGAGTCCTCGTCCTAATCAGTTATTAGATATTGGAAGGGTAATGTAGTAAAAAGCCATTATAGTATTTATTTATTTATGGCTGCATTATTAAAACTACAAGTTTCCTCAGGGTCAAACAATCATCGGTCATTGTGTGTCGTCTCATTTTAGAGGAATCGGTGTTCGGATGGTGGAGCCACTTTACCAGAGTCCTTCCTTTGATGGTGTCCTACCCAGCCTGGCTTTCCTACAAGTATTTATTCTATTAAAACACATAAAATAGTAATTATGTGCACTTTTCCTGTCCATTAATGTCAGATTGATAGGTTGGGTTGCATATAAACTCGCACACTTCTGCCCCTTCACGTTTGTTGTCCTGGAAAACCTAAAAGTGTATTTCCTGTTGTGCAGAACCTTCCCTCTGTGGTCGTGGGACACGTGCTCGGTCCTCGACCCGGAGAGCGGATCTTGGATATGTGTGCTGCGCCCGGAGGGAAGACGAGCCACATCGCCGCGCTCATGGGGGATCAGGTCAGATGCTCTCACTCTCCACATTCTTCTACGTTAAAATGTTGAGCACAATTTGGACATTACTGCTTTTACTTTAAGTGTCCACATTGTTTAATAGAGGAGGAATGAGTCCTAAAATCCAGAAATGAGTTAGTATTTTAGCACTTCTGGGTCCCTCGTCTGAGAGTCTGTGGGATTTTGTTTGGATGCCTGTTAAAAGTCTGATTAACACAAGATTAAGATTTGTAATATTGTTGTATTAGTACTTTTTTAAAAACTTTTTCTAAGAAACTATAGACAAGATTTCCATGTGAATTTACAATAGACAGATGTAGTAATAAATAATAATTAAAGTAACTAAATAAAAACATCAGTAAATACAAAAATATATAGGAAATAAATCTAAAAATAATCTCCAAACTCGCTCTGTTGACTCACTTTCCAGGTCTGCTCGTTTAAAACAATTAATAAAAGGACCTCCTACTCTTTAAACCTCCCTGGGTGTAACTGGTGCTTTTTGTGCTCTGTTAATGAATTTCTGTCTCTTTCCGTCTCACACAGGGCGAGGTCGTGGCCTTGGACAGAATCCGAAATAAGATCGATCGGATTCGTGAAAACGCCCAAATGTTGCACCTGCGTTCGATCACAGCGTATTGCTTCAACAGCACTCAGGCAGTGAGCAGCGACCCAGCACACACTGAAGGTACAGAGGGACACACGGAGGTTTCTTATATACATATTTATCCATGAATAACACCAGGACTCTTTTTATATATATATATCACTTGTGTTTCTGAACATATTCCAGGACCTCCTTTCCCTCCTGAGAGTTTCGACCGCGTTCTGCTCGATGCCCCCTGTAGCGGACTCGGACAGAGACCCAACATGGGCACCACCTGGGGCCTGAAGGAGATCTGCTCCTACCAGCCACTGCAGCGCAAGTTGTTCCACGCTGTAGGTTTTACCTCGCAGATAAAACACCTGACACCCGTTTTGTTTTCCCACCACATCACATTGATAATAACTCATTCTGACCAGTAGGTGGCGGCATTGTGCAGTTATTTAGTTCACACCTTAAAGAGAAATACACCTCAAAATTATATTTATGAAGGTTTTTTTCTCTGATTTGTCATTTCTCTAATCTCATTAAACCACAATCCACTGTAATACCGATCGTTTTGATTTATAAACTAGAACGTTTTCTATGATTTTTATACTGTCAGGTACACCTTTCAGCTCTGAAGGAACAAATGTGTGATTAGTTTTTGGAAAAGTCATTATTTTTTAGTCCTAAAAGCTACTACTACTTCTACCTTTAGCATTAGCCGCTCCTTGCTCTTTATACAAACGCACATACATGTAGTTTTGACTGAATCAAGTAGGAAAATCTGTTTTAGTGTGGATTTTTTTTCTTTTGCTTTAAACATGGCGAGCAGATGGATTACTAGAAAGAAGTCAGAGTCCGATGCAGAAGACGTAATTTATCCCGGTGACGTGTAGTGCTCCATCAGTTTCCTCAAGGTCATTCAGCTTCATAGCAAAGGCAGAAGAAAGACTCCTTTATGTGCCTGTGTACAGCTCATGTTGACAGATTTGGAAATATGTGACAAGTTAAATCTGTTATAACTGATTTTATTGGCACTCGGGCGGAGTAGAAATAACGTGTCATCGCCTTTTTAAGTTGATGTGGTGAAGTTGTACGCAGACAGTTGCGAGTCCAGACACATTATCATACATTTGTAGTTGTGTTTGCGTCACTACACTTTGTTTGTGAGCCAAAGTAATGAAACTGGAACTCTATGAAGCTCTGTGAAGACGAGGGGGAGCTGCAGATTTGGGCAGAAGTGGAAAGTAACTAAGTACAGATAGTTTGTTATTGTAGTTAAGTAGTTTTTTTCAGGTATCTGTACTTTACTTTTCTGTTTACTTACTTACTTTACTTTTATTTTGCATTATTTGCCCTCCTTTCAAACATCAAGACCGGTGAATATCACATAGAGCTGCACAATTAATCCAAATATTATCAAAATCACAATATGGTGATGTCCAAAGTTTCTGATAAAGGTCAAATGTAACAATACAGCATTATAATAAAGTATTGTAGTTCTGAAGAGATGCCCTGGACTACAAATCTTGTTCTCCAGACTCAAATTTCACGTCATGATGATTTTAATATTTTTTTATGATGCAAAAATGATCACTCCCACACTAATGAATCATATCTGTCAAAATAACTGACCTGTTATCACACGTGACAGACGTGACGAAAACAACAAAAGATGTAAGAATCGTTGCAGAGAAACAGTCGGTAGAAATATTCCTTCAGAGAAACCCAGAGAGAACTTTTTACTTTTAATTTCAGAGCCGGTTTTTCACTTTTACTCGAGTAAAGAAGTTGAATCAGTACTTTTATTCTTACTGGAGTCTTGTTTTTAGTAATTATCTGTACTTCTGCTTGAGGAAAGTTGGTATTGGGTAATAATTCTTTCACATTGTGACTCAATGATCTATTATAGCCACTTTAATACTAAAGTATTTATGAACTAACTAGATAAAATCCATACATGTTGTATGTGTGTGCAGGCAGTGCGGTTGCTGAAGAAAGGCGGTGTTCTCGTGTACAGCACCTGCACGGTGACTCTAGCGGAGAACGAGGAGCAGGTAGCCTGGGCCCTCGAGACCTTTCCCTGCCTCACGCTTCAGCCTCAGGTTAAACACACTTCGGCCACGAGCACAGACTCATAAATATGGAGGGAGATGTTAGGAAAGCCTCATCAAATCACACTGTTTTTTCTCTTCTCCTCAGGAGCCTCACATCGGCGCAGAAGGCATGCTGGGAGCCGGCCTGTCACCTGAGCAGCTGCGCCTCCTCCAGAGGTTCAGTCCCGAGCTGAGCTGGGAGCAGACGGGAACGACGGCCCTCTCCCGCAGAGCCGACAGCGACACTATCGGCTTCTTCATCGCCAAGTTCCTGAAAGGCTGACCGGAGGGCATGTTTTGTCTCTTACAGCGCCGTCGGCTCTCGCACGAGACTGCAGACGGGAACAGTGGTGTTTATATTACGACGCTCTGTGTGCTTTGACGGAGTGACGGTGTTGACAAAGACGCTCACTGCGCCGTTTACAGCATCTGCCTCTCAACAGCTGCTCTCTGAAAACTGCGGGCCATATAGGGATAAGCTTTATAAACACAGAGGGCAAGGAAAAGAGAGGGAGAGGGAGAGGAGGGAGGGAGAGGAGGGCACGTGGGGATGGAGTCTGAATGAGTATTGGCAAATGCAGCAGTGCTAGCGTCGCCATAACAACAGTGACGGCACGGCTGCCATGGTGACAGCGGATTGGCTGGATCTCAGAGCTCAGATCAGGAAGTAGCGTGCAGAAAGAGGTCATGAGAGGTATTAACAATTTAGTGTATTTTTTTAAGTAGTGGTGGAGACGACCGGGAACTCTTAATTAGTGCTTCTTCTGCTTGTGAGAGAGAAACGACGCAGCGTGTAGTTCTTTTCGGATCATTAGAAGGAAAATTATATTAATTTATACGCCATAAAAGTTCCTTTTAAAATAAGATTTTTTCTCTCTTTATGTGCATTATCTATTAAGTTCTCTGATTACGCTGATGAAATGTTTAAATACACATTACACTGATTCATTCGGTGCAAATTCTGCATGAATTATGGGCCCAGTAAATCTGCACAGAATGTAATTTATAGATTTGTGCCCTATAGTGCACAAACATCTGGCCCCGCTCTGCTGTCACGCAGTCACATTTTAAGGACCTTCACGGTGACCTCGACTCAATCCCTCTTCCTGGGAACGCCATTCGACTCTTATCGGCCCACATCTGTCTGGAAAACGCCAGCCGACTGCACTTCACCTCCCCGCATCTGTGCGTTTTAACTCTATGAAGAGAGTTAAAGGGGTGTGGGGGGGGGCTGATTAAAATGGCCGCTCCTGCAGCACTATTCCTTTTTTTCCTTGTTTAACAACATTAAAATTCTGAGATCAAATCAGCTGCATCTCTGCTTGTTTTGTCTATTCTGGAGGCGTCTGTGTGTGTGTGTGAGTGTCTGTGTGTCTGTGTGTGTGTGTGTGTGGAGAGAAGCTGCTTCCTATTTTAGATGCGTCCCCTCGGTGTTGTCATTCATGTCGACGTTGTCATGACGACTAAGGAGGCAGGGCCGGTGAGTCTACCTCAGTTTTTCAGCAGAGTTTTCAGATGACTATTTATAGACGCCGCTTCCCCTCTTTCTGTCTGAGTCTCCTGACAAAAGCACACATCAGATTCTTCTCCTCCTCCTCCTCGTAGGTCCTTTGTTGCCAACTTTATTCTGTATATTTATGCATTATGTACATACACATGTACACCGTTAGAAAATCTGCAATGCTACCAATGTAGCATAGAAAGAGTCTTTTTTAACATTTTTTTTTTTTCTTACAAGCAAAAACAAAGAAGGTGAAGAGACGGGGTCGGTGGTTTTGTAAACAGAGGGGCTCAATTCAGATTTTCAGTATCAGGAATTAATATGATATCTGTGAAAATGTGAGTTGAACCAGCTTTTGTATGTCATTGAGCAACCTGGGGGGGGGGCAGGTGCTGGAGGCTCTACAACCATCAATGCATTATATAGTTCCTGGTCAAAGGGACGACAGACAGAAAACACAACCATCTTCGTCGGGTAAACATTTTGAATTGTTTTGAGTTGCAAATGCATCTTTTAATTTTTAGTGATCCTAAAACGAACATTCTTTATACTCTAAAGTGGGAGTTAAACAACATTCATTAGAAAAAGGGGGGGTGGGGGGTCAGACTTAATAAAAGATGAACCTCGATGGCGTTTTGGTAGTAGACCTACGGTAAGTTGCAATGTCAATATCAAATCGCTTTCACTGGAAACCAACGTGAATCAGTAAAAGTGCTGAATAAAGGGTGTATCAATGTTATAAAATGTTTCTGGACCCATACAAAGAGAACAGTACTGCATGTACGAGAGGAAGTTATTGTAGAAGTCGTTTGTCTTGTAAGGCAAGACTAAGGTGCACCTCGAAGGAGGCATAAAACCAAAATGTCTAAATCCATGGCCGCAGAATTTAAAAAAAAAAAAAAAAAAAAATAGGAACTAAGCAATAAATGATGAACTTAAAATGACGGGAGTAGTCTGACACTTGGGAATCGAGCTCACTGGCTTTCTTACAGAGAGGGAGATGAGAAGATGGAGACCGCTCAGCCGCCTGAAGCTACGGTTAGCGTGAGCGAGCTAAAGTTAAGCCCCCGCTGTAAACACAACTCGTCGTTTTTTTTTTAGACTTTGTTTTTGTACAGAGTAAACAAATGAGATATAAACTGTTAATTAGTGAGCTTCAGTGCTGCTGGTAGGTGGATTTAGTTTTAACTTTTCACTCCCAAGCAAAGCCGACCGGCTGCTAGCTGTAGCTTCATGTTAACCTTTACAAATACGAGCGGTATTGATCTTCTCATCTACGCTCAGTTGACAGTTTTGTAGTTAAATTCTGCCTTTTGTTGACACTAGCTTGCAGGAGGTAGTTCGTGGTGTTTCTGTTATTTAGACCAGGTTTGGAGATTGTTACGTCTTCATAGTTAATCAAACTAGGATCACAATAAAGTACAATCAATCAAAACGACCAATTTCTTCTCTTTTTTCTCTACAACCCAATCAAGAACCCCTCGCTGAAAACCACTGATTTAGACTATAAAAAAATACTACTAAACTAACTACTACTAAATAATAGAAACACCTGCAACATCACCACAAACTACAGCCTCCAAAAAGGATCAGTTCTCTCTAAACCTGAACAAAAACTGAACATTACAACCTTCACAAAGGCAGGATTTACACACAACTGTTGTACCAGCGTTGCTTTAGTTTCAGCCAGGCGTTCCTAATAAACTGGCAACTCGGCGTAACTCTCAGCAAGAAAGCAAATATGCGTATTTCCCCAAATTTCCAAACTATTTCAAACAAAAGACCTCTGCAAATACAGCAAACTAACTTAGTTAGTCAACCGTTTGCAGTCAACCCTAGCAGTAGTCTGAAGGAACAAATTATTCAAGTGGTAGCAAGCAAAAACCCCCCAAAATTAATAATAATAATAAAAATAAAAATGCTAATCACAGAAAGCACAGCTCAGTACAGAAAAAAATTCTGCTTTTGTGTCATGCTTTATCAAACACAGGTTTTAAAATATGCATATTTAAGAATATTCATGCATATCCACACATAAACAACGTCTATGCATAGATACACACATACATATATTTATATATTTATATTTGTATCTATGTAATCAAAATCCTGCCGTTGAAAAAAGATGCAACAGCATTTTACAAAGGAAGTGTACATAAATAGGATGCTGTGGTCTCGGGGGGGTATAGCAGCACGATGGGAGAACAGAACGGTCTTTAAGAGTCCAGATGAGCTTCAGGAAGGGATTTGGTCTGTCACTGGTGGATGTAGGAGTCTCTGGCCCATTCCCCCGCGTCGCCCCTCTTTTTGGGAGCCACCTCCCCCTCTCGGTCCCTGTCTCTGTCCCGGTCGTAGTAGTGGTGGTGGTGGTCGCGTGCCGGCCGGTGGTGGTGCGAGCGCTGCTTGTTCCGTTCGTTATGGTCCTGCTCGCGCTCCTTCGAGCGGTGGTGTCCCGTGCTGTGGCCGGCCTCCTCCGCCCCACCGCGGTGATGGTGGTGGTGGTGATGGTGGTTGTGGTCCCGGTGGGGCAGTGGCTCGTAACGCTGTTGCTGCTGGGGGTGCCCCTCCCCTAGATCCTCATCCTCCTCCTCCTCCTCCTCTTCTTCCTCCTCCTCCTCCTCCTCCTCCTCTTCCTCTTCTTCCCGGTGGAGGAGCTGAGAGCGTGGCTCGATATAAGCCGAGTCCTTGCTCTCTCGGCTCTCTCTGCTCTCAGGGGTCTCCGAGTCCAAAGTGTCCTGCCCGGAGAGGCCCCGGGCTCGACTGCTGTGGTGGTGGTGGTGATGGTGGTTGTGGTGCTCAGTCCTGGTGGAAGACGAACGGTGGTGGATGTGCTGGGCTCTCCTGGAGGACTCTGTCCTCAGAGGCCTCTCCTCCTCGTTGCCCTCCCCCTCAGCCTCGGCGTCGGCGTCGGCCTGGTCCTGGCTCTGGTGGTGGTGGTGGTGGTGGTGATGGTGGTGCTGCTGCTGCTGCTGGTGATCCTCTCTGGAGCCTTTTCTCTCCACTAATGCTTTATCTCCTTTCTGCTCCGCACCGCTGCCCTGGAGTCAGTAACACATGTCAGTCAGTAGGGTGACAGAAAGCAAAACAATTCACTGCAAACACACAGAAACACACAGAAACACACACACACACATGCAGATTAATATTCACACGTGAACACACACACACCACTTGAATATTCACCAACCATCCATTGAAGGTTGAAGAATTTCAAGGTATTTTCAGTCTCCAGCACCGAGGCCGACTCCTGACGGATTTCTGGCACTTGAAGTCTCAAAACCTTTATCTGAGGGCCTCTTCACTCACCACACTAGCAACCACACGTCAAGCTCACTCCTGCTCCTCATCAGTATCAGGAATTTCCTCAAATACCCCATTTTCAGTCTTACATTTCCCATTGTGAGGGCAGGGGGGTGGAGAGAGGGTAGAGGATAAGGGATTATACACAAAAGACCAATAGTTGTGTGTTGTTGGTTACTGTTAGGTGTCATAGCAAGTTAATAGTAAGAATTAAATGCATTTGAAATCAGTGGTTTCATAACTGTCTAGCTCTGTATCTTCTCTAAAGGTCGGTCCCAATATCCACACTTATTGTGTCTAAAAGCTGCCAACCCACAATACACACAGTCCAAACTGTTTGTACACTACTGCAGCAGTTATTGGTAGTGATGCACGTTTAAGCTGGTTTTAGGAGCAACAATTTTAAACAGAAGTTAAAGTTTAGGACATTATTATTAAAAAGTTACTCTCTTATGGTTAAAAGTAAAGTCTCCATTTCTTGAGGAGACTGATAAAGAATAATATTGCAAATCTTAGTTAACATACATATCAAATATTAAGAAGATCCTCACCATTAAAATTATTATTATGTCTCCTTTAGTACAGCAGACCTCCTCTATGTAACTCGATTTAATCGCTATATTAAAGGACCTGTGTGTACGGTTTAGTGGCATCTAGTGGTGAAGTTGCAGATTGAAACCATTTGAATACAGCTCAGCCTTTCAAGCGTATAGGAGAAACTACGTGAAAGGCCTTATCTATTTTGTCCGTTCTGGAAAACAGCTCATTCTTAAGTAACAAAAACACACTGATTCCTATATTCAGGTAATAAAAACATACCTTATTATTATAATTAATATATATATATAATATACTGTATATCATTATAATCCATTTCTGTCAAGAGATCCTTCTAAATGTTACACACTGGACCTTGAAGTGTATTTCTCCTCTCAGCTCCTGAATTTTTCATTATGCTGAAATTAAGTGTGTATAATGAACACTTAAATACACAGGTAATACATGTAGGCACTTGACTCCATAAGTGTGTGTATTGGGACGGACCTTTTCTAACCCTCTAGCAGTGGTTCCCAACCTTATTTGACACATTTTATGGATATTTCATATTATATTCAATGCACAACTATAACAGTAACAGAACAACTGAGCTGTACAATGAACCCAAATAGTGATAACTGCAGGAAGTTTGTGTAAAACGAGCGATTTGGATGAATTTTTCATACTTAACATGCTTCTTTTTTTGACAAATTCAGTTTCTTCTTCTCCCTGACACTTTCCACTGTTATATTAACCTTTTAGTTATATTAACTGCGTCTTTCTCTAATGCAGGACGAGGCTGTGAGAGTGAAGGCTCTGTGAATATAGCTTGTGTTAAACCAACACATGAATGAATGAAATGCTGAGATAAAGGCCGACTGTTTATGTTTCATACAACCCCTTAAATCAAGAATGCCTCGCGACCCCTCCCCGTGAAGCTTTGGCGACCCCTAGGCCACCAGGTTGGGAAGCACCTGCTCTAGCGCTGCCTCTGTCGCTTCCTGCCCAGCTATGCTTCACTTGAATACTTTGTTACCTGCTGGCCGGAGACCGGGGCTGGGCTGGAGGGCAGGGTGGCTGTGGGCAGCTTTGTTAGCACTGGGTTGGGGGGGTTGCAGCTGGTGGGGTGAGTGCTTTTCCAGTAGGCCTCCAGGTAATCTGCCATATGCTCGCATGCGTCCTCCAGCTGGTTCTCATCTAGGATGATGTCAAACATCTCCTGAGGAAGGAGAGGAGGGGGCGCAGACAGAGTTAAAGACGTTGGAGACACGACGAGGTCAAGAAAAACAAGAAGGTGAAGGGTAATTTCAAAATAAAAGACAGATTCTTGGATTGTTTTGAGAAATCTACAGACATCTAAAATTAAAATTATCATAAAGTAATCAAGCTGATATTTATATATATATACACAAGATGTCAGAGCGATGTCAGAATCAACCTTCTGAATTAACTCTGAGACAATCTTAAACAGTAATTCCCTAAAGATACAGAGCGCCATTTGAATTAAATTAAGCCTGCACTTTCACAAGCCTGCGGTGCTTGCTTCACTTTCTAAAATAATAACTAAGCAGATTACAGAACAGCAGAAATAGAACTGGCACAAATAAAACAAAAACTGACTTCAGATATGCATGAAACTAAAAGCCTTGGAGCCAAAAACTCCAGGTTATTTTAAACCCTGGATTCAAGTCAGTGATAATTGGGGTCCACTGTGGAGACTTACAGGAGGGCACTGAGCCAGCTTGTCTGCGGCCACCATCTGGACATTGAGGTGTTTGGCCTGAGACTTGCCTCTGGACTTGATGAGCCTCTGCAGCACCTGAAGGCAAATAAGGACAGAAGGCAACAAGGTCATGGTTGTTTTATGCCACAAAAATACATTTAGGCTTTGTGTTGGTGAAATCCTGAGAGGAAGAAGATAGCTGTAGAAAGAAGTTCTGTACTGGTTATTTCATTTACTTGAGTATTTCTGGTTTATGCTACTTTATATGTCTACTCCACCATTCAGAGAGAAATACTTTACTTAATACTCTACATTTTACTTTATTACATTATAATCTGACAACTGTAGTTATACATTACATTTCAGATGTCTATGAGTTATTAGCAGTTCTACCTAAAAGACAAAATTGTTTGTTAAATTGTTTAATTTGTTGTTGATTCTGGCGCCCCCTGTGGACAACAGCGGTGGTGTTTCCACCGCCTTATTTCATTGATTTCAAGGGGAATACAACCGACTCTGCATTAAGAAATTCAGAAACTACTGCATACAGAAATTACAAATCTTCTTCCTGATGTTTATGTAGGTCATGTATAAAGGCATCAGTATTTTAATGTGAGACTCAGTTAAAAACTCCTTGTAGAAGACAGAACTGTTTGAGGTCCAGAGATTTAATTATTCCACGTTTAACAAAAATAAAAAAATATTAAAAAGGAGTAAACTACCCGACTGTATCAAAAGAAGTTAAACTCCACATCAACCAGCTACAACATTAAAATGCTGCTTATGCATCGATGCATTAGTATTAAAGGACTCCGATAAATATAAAAATCGATGCATCAGAATCAGAGATATTGTTCTTCTTACTTGTCCAAACCTGGTGCCTACATTACCCACAATGCAACTCCACGGACAGTTCACTCAGAGATTTGTGTGTGTTACACTCAAGGACATTTTTTTTGATTTGTCGCCGTAAAAGAGGCGTTATAAAACTTTTGTTCACCTATTCAGTTGTAGACTAGCAAACAGACTGATGTATGAAATCAGAGGAGTTCAACTAATAATGTAATATATGATCATTTATCTGCAGAACGAGTACTTTTAATACATTAAGTACATTTTGTTGTTAATACTTCTGTATTTAAATTTGTAATAGAAGCATTTTATATTGTTTTATTGGTACTTTTACTTAACTAAATGACCAGAGTACTTCCTCCATCACTGGTTATATAAGCAGTTATATTAAAACTTGTATACTACTGTGATTATCCCTTTAAATTTGGCTGTATATGATGTGGCAGCAGGCTGTAATTGAGAGGACAGGTGGTAGAAGTGTTTTATTTTATCCCACTGTGAGTGTGATTCACGCTGATGCCACTTTGATTTAAAGCTTGTATCTCATGCCTCCTTAGCTATGCTTTTTCTCATTTTTCTGTGTTCCCCAAATGCCTGTGTTTTTAATTGATCACTGAATCATGAGCCTTTTTCTCCTCGTACTGAAGGTCACAGCGATGAATCAGTCCCCCTCGCGCATTTGCTCGCTTTTCAAATACAATGATGGATTTAAAATCACAGCTGGGGAGCAGATCAGTCACAGAGACACCAGTTAAAACATCGGTGGAAGTACGTACACTCTACTATACTCCACCATACTCTTTTCCTTTGATCTCTCATTGATTGTAGCTGGATCCAATAGGTTCGTTTTTACTCACCTTGGGAGAGGTGATCTTGACGTAGACGATGATGGGGGCGAGGGAAGTCTTCCCCAGCTGTGACGGGTGGTTGATGGTGTCGGCGTCCAGGACTACCAGCTGTAACGTGCGGGCCAGTTCGAATATCCGCTCAATCTCACTCTGGACTTCAGCTGAAGAAGAAAAGGAGAGTCGAGTTCAGAGGTTCTACTTTTATTTTCTAGCCTTGTTCTTATAAAGCCTGTTAATAATTAATTATCACTATTTATTGTCTTTCTGTGAAAAATCTGTTGTACAAATTAAAGGAATAGTTCAACATTTTAGGAAATATGTGTGTTTGTATTGTCAGCAGATGGATAGCTTAGCATAAAGACTGGAAACAGTATTAATGAAGAGAAAGACCTTACCAGGTAACAACCAGCATCTCTAAAGCTCTCAAATTAATGTTAATGTTATATTTTCTTTGTTTAATCCGTATAAAAAGTCTAAAAACATTTGTGATTTTGTCTTTGGACAGAGCCCAGATAGCTGTTTAAATTATTTTAATGGATTTTAGACAAATCGCAGTTAAAAACATGTTATTAAAGAATATATTGAATATTGTCTGATGTAATGGTTAAAGGTTAATATTAATGTCTGTTAATGGCTGTTAATGGTTATATATACTGAAGAGTGGCTGTTATTATATAATCAATGCTGCTTCTTAAGGTTGCTGATTTTGTTGCCTTTGTTGACATTTCAGTGTCTTATTCAGTGTGTTATGTTGGTATTTCTCAATCTTTTTGCCAAATGAGCACACTGCTGAAGCTCAATTCTCCTTTTTTAATCAGACTGCTTGTTAATTTTAATCTTTTATTGTTGACATACTAAATCTTATGACCGCAAGTACAACCACTCGTAGGTTCTTTCTTTATTACTATCCTGTTTGATATTTGATGTTTTTACTGTATAACTATTGTTTTAAAAAGGGCTATATAAATAAATCTTTACTTACTTACTAAATGTGGTTTGACAAACTGCATTGCATCATTGATTTTACGCTTGGCTCCTTTCTTTGTTTCATAGAGACTTAAATATTCAAAAGACATCGTGACTTTAGGGACCAGCTTAAAGACTAATAGCTCTGAGAGGAACAGCGAGTCATGTTCTGTTACCTCTAACAAATACCGACTGTTACATCACACAACCCCCACTCCAACAGATGACGATGTGACTGCGAAAACTATCCTACAAATATCACAGCAGGGCACTCTTCCCAATCTGAGAAGAGTCATGGCCAAGCTTCATGACTTCCAGTCACGACAAAGTCTGAAGTAAACTGATAACATGAAAAACATTCCAACCTAACAGCTCATTTAGACTTCGACTGAGTCACAAATTCTCATTTTCCAGCTAAAATATGCCAGAAGGGTGAGATAACTTCACTTGTTTCCAACACAGAATTTTCCTGAAATCATTTATTGTATCTTGAAGCACAGAGGGCTTCAGTAGCATCAAGCAAAATGTCACTTTTGTATTCAAGAAAATTCCTGAAAATGCTCATCTGCAGAAGAAAAAAAATATATTTTTCGGGGGGGAAAGTGAAGATTTCAGTCTCCACAGAGCACAAAATGACTTGTTAAGATGGGTAATGCCTGTTTACTGACTAAATGGACTCCAAGTGGCACTCACTTACAATAAAAAGGCTCCAAATGTGTATCAGTCCTAATGTATCACTAAAAAGACAGCAGAGGTGGAGGAGCTGTTGTCTTAAAGCTCCTTTTGAGTCTTTTCTGAGACACCGTTGAAATGATAAAGTTGTAGTGTGGTGGCTCTGTGAAATATACATAAACACTTTTTGCTTCCAGCGTATGCTTTTCCTGGGACGTCTTACCCTGCTGCAGGCGCTAACTGATGCATACGTCGATGCATAGCAAAGATAAGCCCTGTCACCTCAGTTTGACTCAGGAATCTGTTTCGTTCTAATCACATCTGAACCCCAATCAACCTCAGTCGAATCGGAGCGGTTCTTGAACTTGTTATCGAGCGTTTATGCTCGATATCTTTCATTCCTAACAAAAGAAAACTGGCCAAGGCCACTCCGGGCCGTCGGGAGTTATCATCACCATTGTCAAGAGTTGCTTTAATCGTTTCCTTCCTTTTCTACATAAGCTGGTCTCCTTGAAAACATTATGAATCAAAACACCAGATGTTCCCAGGCATTGCAGTCATTTCTGGTCCAAACGTACCCAAGTTTGAGCGTGTGTTGGAGCGCTCGATGATGGCGTGCTTGCTGGGATTGTTCAGGACTGAGCGTTTGGCAAGAGAGATGTCTGCCGTGACGCGTGTGATTGATATTCTGAAACAAGGGACAAGAAAAATGCAGATATTATGGACTTGATTTGATATGAGAGGAAGATAAACATGTTCTTGCTGTATATTTAGACCAAAACTAAAGTAGAAGCAAAAGATAAATATAAAAATAGAGAATATAAGTGTAGATTTGTTAAAAATCATTTTCTTTGAACTTGATTTGATTGTTAATAATTTGACTTTACGGTTCTTCTAAGGTGCTTTAAATCAGAGTAACAAGTCCTTAAACCTGTGTAAGTGCGGGCTGGATCCCGACCAAGACTTCTTAGGGTGAACCCAATGCATGAACTCATTTTCTGATTTCCCAGAGGTCTGATGAAAACCACTAATATGATTTTAAATGAGAACATGTAGGTTATTAAAACCCAACCAACCCCACTAAAAGTTTCTAACTCTCACTAAACCGATGGAAACCTAAAACATGACTTTATGGGAGAGACGTGGCTTCTGAATATTAACTTCCCATACAATAAAACATCTACTTTATACAATATTTAGGCAGTGTTTTATTTCATATATTAAATGTTTAATAAGGTAAGATATGGCAGGAACTATTATGAAGAACAGGAAGAGAAATGATGTTTACCAGCAGCATCAGGCTCATAATTAAAACTGTATCCACTCGCGTTATTATACAGGGAACACCTACTTACTGACAGTCCAAGCACACTCACATATAAAACATTACACTGTAGGAAACAATAACAGCAGCAACAATGCTGATAGACAAATAAAATGAGTTCCCTATGGGTTCCCTAATCCCTACACATCCTATACTGTAAAGCTACTCATGCTCCCTTTGTTTCAAAACAAGAGCGCACTGTAACACATCGGTTTCTTAAGAATGAATAGGACCGTTATAGCTTGATAACATGTCATAGTTAAACCCTGTTTGAAAAGCAGGGCTAAAAAGGGAATTAGCAGAATTCGCTGCAGCTGCTGGTGGTCTGAGTGGATCTTAAGTGTTGTGTAACTTCATGGCCTCTCTGCTTCAGATGGGTGGACGGACTCAACGTTGAGTGAGGAGAATCCTGCTCTGCTCTAGGGCCCATTATGGCCTATTAAGGACATGGAGAGGGCCTATTTAAAGCAGCAGCACACATCTCCAGGCCAAACAAACTTGTTACACACTCCCTCGGCTAACCTCGGGGGACAGATAAATACCAGCCTATAGAGTTGGAGAGGGAGGAAGAATGAGGAAGGAAGCTTGTATTTTAAAAAAGGTCACAGGGAAACTCACCTTCCCTCGAATCTGTGTTTCAAAAAGTCAAACAGTGCTTTTTGCATCATGTCTGTCACCTGTGGACGGGGAAATTTAAAGGGAGAAACATTAGGAAACACTTTAGAAACACTTAAAAAGTGGACACATATCTTGTGTTTGAAACGTCAAAGTCTCGACGGACCTCGTAGCCCTTCAGTGACGGTCCAACCAGAACCACGGGCCGCATGGAAGGCACAACGTCGTACGGAGGAATGTGTTCCGTCTTAAGAGAGGAGAAGAAGAAGAAAAACAGTTGCACACATTTATGGAGACAGAGTAAACACTCACCATCACAAATCACTAGAGGAGTTGGAACAACAATGAACTAGACAATTTAAAAGCACAGGGACATCGTGAACCATGAAACGAGACATCACAGCTGGCCCGACAAACACACACACACACACACACACGAGCCAGCTTTGATTTATAATAAATTTTGGCCGTTTACTTCGTGAATTGTAACATCATCAGATTATGGTAAAGTACAATATTTTATGATGGATTAAAAGCTTTAGATAAATCCTCTCATTTCATGGTTCTGATGTCACTGAAGAAAAAAAAGGGGAAACTATGTAACAGGAAAGGTTAGTCAGACAGGGAGAGAAAGCCGCAGTAGATCGATAGAAGCTACGACTGATAAAACTTGGAACAATCAGGACGCAGGTAGAAAAAACTTGCTCACTGCTGTTGGGACAAAGTGGGAGCTCAGTTTGTGTAATAGCCTCAGTTTTAGATCAAATCATTGAGGTGAAGTTTGAAAATTAGAGCTGAAATCAGAATAAGGAATGAACTGTTCTTATAAGCCTGATCAGTGTTGGTGCTGACCTTATTAAGCCGACTGGGTATCGACCGTGATGTGACTGATACACATTAAATCGTTTTTTGGGCCAATGTCAAGATGAAACTCATTCATTCAGTCACGGCAGGCCGCTGTCTCAGTTTTTTAGTGGCACATAAATCCCATGTATGTGACCTTACATAAAGACGGTGTGTCCCTCGACAGAATATTAATCAATACATTATATATTAATATTAATCTGCAACAGTTCTTTAAGCAAAAAAGCCAAAAATGTATCTTTTCCAGCTTCTCAAATGTAAGTGTTTACTGGTTTTCTCTGTCGTATGTGAAAGAGAATTGAATATATTTGGTTTTTGAACCATTGGTCACCTAAAACATCTGATGTCTGTGATGATGCACGGGCAGAGTTTGCTGAAGGGGGAAAGTTTCTCTGTGCTCACTTTAAATCTGTACGTATGTATCACCACTGGTCCTGCAACTTACTAACGTCAGTGTGATGCTGAAACTTTTCAGTGAAGTAAAAAGCATAATTAATAGATAGAATGTGGAGGAAAAACCAAATCAAACACAAATTATCATTCAAAGCAGACTATTTTTATATATTTTAAAACATGTCTGGAGGGGAAAAATATGTCAACTTGTCTCTAGTAACACATTTCTGGTTTTGTAGAGTAAATGATTCATGAATTAATGAATATAAATACTTTGCAGATTAATAGATAATGGCTGTTAGTAGCAGCCTTGTTTGAAATCAAACAATCGATGGTTTGGAGAAAATGATTAAAATCTGAATAATTGATCATTATTATTGGCATTGGGAGAACATGACAAATGCCCAGTATAATTGTTAAAAACATCAACAACATATTTGTTTTCTTCTTTCTTTCTTCCTTTGGACAAAATGTCCCTTTAATTCTCTCTAAACTGTTTGCATCTGAAAGCGAGGCAGTGAACCCGACGCTGCTGTGAATCCCAGGCGTCTGGCAGAGAAGCATGTTTGAAAGATGGGTGGATGTGCCAGCACGCTGGAGGAAAATATAAGTACTTTCTCTTTCTTTCTTTCGCACAGATCTATGCTGAAGCTCTGTCGGAGAGCAGACAGCGGGGGAAGCAGAGAGGGTTGACTACTTAAAAAGGACTGTTGATTATCATATCCGATTAACTTTTTTCCCCTTATTTGTCCTAATGTTTGAGCTGTTCTCTCAGTCCGTGTTATCTTTACAATGAGTGTTTTAGTAGATTTTATATTACAGTCTATCGCCCCCTCTGCCTCTTCTCTCCACTTCCAAACATTTTCTTTCTGTCTAACATTTGCTGCCGTCATCGGGCTTCCCTCGGGACATTGTGGGAACTGATGCACACTACTGCTGACTAACACAAGGGGATTAATGGACAATGTGGTCCTGAAGAAATACTTCTGGTAGCCTAAGTTCAGCTCTGGATTACTTGGTTAATGTCAGCATAGTCATGGAAAACTTTCAGTGGCCATATTGTGACAATATTATCTCAATGTATTCGCATTTCTCAAAATCAAACTGCCCAAATTGAACTAATTAACTGACTAAATCAAATTGTTTTTTAGATGTGTGTGTTGGTTGTGATTTAGTATACATGTCGCACATTGCAAATATAATTTGAAGAGGGAAAAATAATATTTGAAATATATTTGAATGCTGTGATGTTGATTTTCAAATTCTTAGGCCTTTAGCAAACAGCATTTATTGCTGCTGTCATGATTCAAATAACAAAGGTTTGTTTCATGTCTACATGACAACAACAATTAAAGAAATAATTCACATGTTAGGAAATATGCTTGTACGCTTTCTCACTGAGAGTTAGATGAGCTGATTGACTCCACTTTAAATATAAAACTAAAACCAGCAGCTGCTCAGTTTAACTTAGCACAAAGACTAGAAACAGGAGAAACTGCTAGCCTGGTTCTGTCTAAAAGGTCATAAAATCTTCCTACCACCACCTCTAAAGCTCACTAATGATCACAATGTATCTTGTTTCCTTAATCTGTACAAAAAACATGTAAAAAGGACAAGTTGCCGTTTTAGGAGGGGTTATGTGCCGGACTATTTCTTTGCTGGGAGCAGTGACTTCCTTGAGTCTTGTTTTTTTGTGCAGATCAAACAAACATGATATAAAATGTTAACTAGTCAGCCTTAGAGGTGCTGGTATGTGTTTTTTGTCACCTTTACATGGAGCCAGGCTAGCTGGCCCAACCCTGTTTCCAGTCTTTAAGATAAGTTAGCCGTACTCCAACTTAATATCTAATGGAAGATATAAGGGCGGTATCAATCTCCTCATCTGACTGTTAGCAAGAAGCCCATTAGGGATGTTTTATAATAAATGTATAACTATTCCTTTAAAAGTAAAAAAAAAGCTGACTAAGATTTCGTCTAGCTCATTAAAAAGCTGTTCACACTGAGCTCTCACTCCATCAGGATCACAAGTTCACTTACAAACACATGAACAATCACAAACACAACACAGAGGACTGCAGGAGCGGTGAGCAGAGTGACAGTTCAGTACAGAGCTGAGTCTCTGCAGAGGAATCGTATAGAGGGTTTGTACAGTTCAGACCACAGAGGTCATCCCCAGACCCTGCTGAGCTGGTGCACTGCACGCCACGACTTACCGACTTCTGCTTCTGCTTAGCTGTGGTGAGACGGAAGAGGAGAAAGAAAAGAGGTTAAGAACAGGCATGCATGCTAACGGACGGGGTGCACGCCCAGGGGACAAGGACGGTGGCGTAGACAGACAGGACGGACGCTGAGTGAGGCCGAGCAGCCACAGGCATTTTAGTCTGAGCCGTGCGGACAGACAAAGAAGAGGAGGAGGTGGGGTAGTCCAGAGTTTACCTTCTTAAAGAAGGGCATTCGTTTCTCTTTTGCTAGGGGTGACATGACAGTGTTTGGACTGGCTTTAGGGGAGCGCAGGTTGACTGGAAGCTCATTGTCCTCGGGGTCTAAGTCTGTGGCGTCTATATCAATGGCTACACACACAGACAGACAGGAGTACCGTCACACAGAGGTGAACACAGGAGGTCACAGGTAACGGGGGGCACATTTCACAGTGAGAGTGATCTATGCTTCTGTACAGGGACAGCAAATGAAACATGTAAAAGTACAATTATGGCAGTTAAAACATATAACTGACTTTATTGCAGGTAGAAATTCAAACTATGAAACATCTAAGTAGTGGGTCTTACCTTGAATTCACTGCAGTGGTTAAAAGTTGCTTTAAAAAGACCAAATAATCTATTAAGTATAAAGTTGGAGTTTAAAAGTTTCCTGTCAAGCTTACTTACCAGACGAAGGAGGAGTAGATTTCCGTGAGTTAGGAACCACTTCACCTAAACTAGAAGATGAGTTTGCTCCCAATTTACTGAAAAGAGAGAGAAAGTGTTTGACATTAGAAATCAACAACACAAACTCTCAACAAGGCCACATTCAATTAAAAAAAATCTCCCGGCCAAGACAGAGAGCTTACCTGGAGTGGAACTTGCCCTGTTTGGCTCTCTGCTCCTGGAGGATACGAGTGTTTTCAATCTTCACAGGACTGGGGATGAAACCGATTTCACAGCCTTCCTTCACCAGGCGTCCTATCCACCAGTCGTTGTTGAATTTCTACACATAATAATTAAAGATAGTTATCTTGAGCATCATACTTCTCCTGATCGCTGTCTTGAAAATCATCTTGAACTGAAACGCACCTCTTTGACATGGAGGAAGTCTTTGGCCTCAAAGGAGACGGCCATGCCTGGCACGGGGACGTCATCATCGTGACTCGGGCTGTAGTTGACATTTGTGCGAACAGCAAATGCAACTGGTTTGGTCTTTTCAAGGAAGAACAAAGGAGGGAAATAAATGAAAATGTCAGATTGTGCAAAAGATATAAATGACTGTCAAACAGCAGTTCGATCCTAACTGTAAAGAGTCCAGACCCGTAACCTCAGAGAGTGGCATCCTTCAAACATTTTGATCTTTCTGGTCTCCGTCGGTGAGCTCTGATTCTTGTCTTTGTGCGAGGTGTAAAAATAACCCTGGGTGAGGGATACAAGCAGGCTCATGACTCACCCAGACTTAGTTTAGCTATCTCTCCATGAATGATTTGGCCGCTGCACTGTCTGTCTGCTACAGGTGAAAACACTTACACTTTACAATTCAGAGTGATGCAACATTGTAGTGTCCGTAGCAATCACTACTCCGACACAAATAGTAAAACGGGACTCTTGTCTTGCACTTACTTATGAGTAGCACAAACAGCACTCGTGTAAATTGTTCATAAATCAATCCCCCAATCTTTACAAGGACTGAATCAATACCTGCCTTCCTATCGGATCACTGCTGACCTTCCTCTTTAGGACAAACTGTCTATTGAGATAATGCACACAGCTAATGAAATGTTTCCTGCACTCCTGCGAGCCATGATAGAACCTTAACACTGCTGACTGTCCCCATACGACGGAGCAACTTTCTTTCTTTCCAGACACATTTTTGCATACAGCAAAAAGCAAATCTCCTCCGCCCGTAGTGACGCATTACATTTTCTACAGAAAGGGATTTGAATAAGATTTAATAAGGTCACGTCATGAAAAAATGTAATGGGAGAATATGCTCACAGACAAACCGTCTAAATCCAGATCTCCGCAAGACTAGAATATACCCACAAAAGACACACATCCCTTTAAGAATTACATAAAATGCTTTTGGACATAATCTTGGAGCCAGCCTGGCGGCGATGGCAGCAACAGTTGGCAACGTGGTCATGGCCTCAACCAGATTACATTTGCTCTGCCTTTGACTGTGTGACAAGCATGACTGAAGTAACCTGAAAAGCCAAAACGAAATGCACAGGGATGTATCTCAGAGTATTAATCTCGCAGCGTAGACTCACACGCTAAATATTTACCTGCACATGAAAGAGAGCAAGATGAGAGGGAAGGGGTGTGTGATATTCAGCTGGGAGTCAAATTGAACCCACTAGATCAGCGCTTTGAAGCTGTAACTTCAGTTGGACTTTATACAGATTCTGAAAAATGCTTTCAAAGTGCACTCAAATAGCTGGTTTCACCCGTAGCAACCTAAAAATAAAATGTGCCACGGTTGAGCTGATTTCCAGATTAAATTCAGTGCACATAGAGCAAAAAAAAAAAAAAAAAAAGGTAGATATCGGGTATCAGGTTTAGTGCAACTTCAACTTCATTTAAGAAAAATCTTTTTCCCCTTGAAGCTGCAACTGAACTTGACATAAACATAGACTATGACACATTATCAGGCACTTCAATTAAACACATATTGAAAGTAGGTTTGTGCCGACTGGAGATAATCACTGATTAGGTTTTATTCCAGCCGTCCACATTGAAGAACCAAACCAAATGATTCTTGATCTTAAGGGGTGTTGGAAAACTTTAAAAATGTACAAAGTAGGATTGTATCTCATCGTCCTACAGTAAAAAGTATTCAGTTATAACAACCAAAGAGCTAACAAACCGAGCGTCAGGGAGAAGAAAACACTGAATTTGTCAATAAAGAAACCTATTAAGTCTGTATGATTGTTAAAGATTTAAAAATACATAAAAAGTTCCTAAAATATTGGGGAAAACTCATCTCTGATGCAATATTCACAGGAAGTTTATCAGTTGTTCTGTAGTTATTGTCATGCATTTAATATAATATGAAATATCCATAAAATACGTAATTTAGTCAAGGGGTTGTCAGTTTAATCAATGATAGTCCCCTCAGGAAAAAGGTTTGGGAACCACTGGTATAGACAACTGTCAAATTCATATCAGCCTAAAAGATATATGTCAGTATCAACCTGCTGCCCCCTACTGGCCAACACATCTGGTATCGCAGGTTTAAATACTCAATATGAGATTAAATGACTTTCATTTAATTTAAGATTAATATTTTTAATTCAACGCTTTCCCATTAACCTTCAACCTCCAACAATTCAATAGGAGAGCGGAGCTGATTGGATTTGCTCGGATCTGAACGCTGCTTGAGATCTTTCAAACAGGCAGCAATGCTCATTGAAGCTCGGCACTATGGGAGTAATTCATCAGCGGCTCCAGGAGGAGCTTTACAGACGACGGGCCATCTCTTTCATCATGGCTTTCACTGTTCACTAATGCCTCATTGAAATACAACAGGTGTGAAGTGACTATGATGAACTATGAGGGATTATGGAAATAATACATTAGCGAAATCCTCCTGGAGTCATTTTCCTCACACCGACAGCAATGTAAATATTCCACGGAGTGACGGTTGTAAGCTGAATGTGTGTGCACTTGTGACATCTCCATTGAGGAGATCATTCAATCCAATGTGTGCAGTGCCGGGACGCGCAGAGGACAGAGCGTCCTTGGCGTTTGCATGCGTTGAGCGACACACGGTTGTACGAAGGCATGAGGTCCATTAGTACACGTATGTATGTGTGCTCTCTCGATGGACCGCTGCTGCTTTCCTCCCTCCCAGCTGCTCTGTTCTGCCTTTATCCATCATGACCGGCTGTCAGATGAAGCTTTTTTATAGGCTTAACGACATTTTACAGACCAATAACACACACATACACGTCCTACGTGCCACCTTGTATCACAGGTGATTGCAGGATTTGTACATAATGGCACCTTTAACGTCTCCTGACCGAGCCCATACTGCTCTGTTGCTCTTTACGTAACACAGGCCTTCATTATGGATGCCATTGACTGCAGTGAGGGGGGGAGAGAGGACAGAGGCGGAGGGTTAGAGACCCGGTAAGAAGCATGGGAGGAGGAGGGTGGGGATGGAAAAGAAAGGGAAAGGAGATGGACAGGAGGATAGAGGACAAGATGTAGTGCAAAAAAAGGGAAGCAGGGGACAGGAAGTTAGAGCACATTCATAGAGATAAGAGGCATATTAAAGATAAGACAGAGATAACCAGTAAAAAAAAAAAAAAAAGTCCCTATCTGTAACTGGGAACCCTAGGAGGCAGCGCGATGGACCACAGCCAATTAACACCACACGACGATTGTCACAATATCTCATCCCACCATGAATATTTCAGTGGATAATACCTCCTGGTCCTTCCTCTCTGTACTGTACTTACACTGACTGAGTGAACACTTGCCCTTGCTGTTGCTGATTTGCCATGTTACATGCCACAGCCTCTCCATTAGCAGCACACACAGGATCTCGTGATATAAATCAAGATTCTCACTCTGTTTCACCTTGGACGTTGTGCATCGATTTGAAATAAATTCTCTTTAGCTATGTGCGCTGGCCTTAGGCTCTACTGGGAGCCTGTGAAATATATATTATTATGTGGTATGAAGGGAACCATAACCTTCATTAATTTAGTGCGGGAAGATATTTCTATAATTATCCAAGGTTGCGTCAGTATATGGTGCGCATGTTCACTAAGTAATGTTAGTCTGTGACTAATCGATTGCAGCTACCAGTTCTTTCTTCAATGCCTGGAGCGTATAGTTGGAGTGAGATTATCTTTTATATTCTTTCATACATCTTATTTACATCCATTGGTTGTCCTTTAATGAGTGTGCACTAATTCAACAAGTCAGATCCCATATTGTATCCATTGTCCCTGGTGAGTTAGAGCCTCTTTAAAGACAAAAGGAGACATCCATTACCTATCTATAACCTTATACAACAAAAAAAAAGAGGAATTAGTCATAGTATTTAAACCTATATTAAAAGATGACCACCTGGAGGCAGTGGAAAGCTATAAACACAACATTTGACATGTGATCAATCTCCTTTTAGCTCTGTTTTGGTCTCCACCAAAGGGAAATATCTGTCTTTTGAGTGGCTAAATGCTCCACTATGTTCACCAAAACATTTAAAGTTACAGGCTGAAATACCAAAACAATAAGCTTAAAGATGGCGAAAATTAGAGTATAAGTGACTACTTTTACATACAAGTAGCTGTTCCATCCATTGACGATATAAAAATATTGATTATAGCAGCTTTAAAGCCAGTCACCTCGAACAGCCGGCCCTGAATAGTGCATGTGAAACAGATCACAGACTCATGACACCAGACTAGATGTGCCACTAATCAGATGACATTGGAGGTCAGGTGAGATAACTTCTGAATTGAATGGACGCATACTAATGTGTATAAATAAGTAAAGTTATAATATATAGCCCACAATCCTTTACATCAGAAAATAGATGTCGAAAAGGCTAGAGCCTGACCAATAGTGTTTTTAAAGGGGACATTAACAATTTGTCAACTGATATAGTGCATTTCTGAGCTGAAAATAGACCAATTCTGCACTAATATAACTCTGCAAAGGCACTCAGAAGCCTGCTTTCTAAAAACATAAAACTTCATTAAAGAATATTAATAATTAAATGTTCTTTAGCATGTTAAATAATTTAACATATATGCGACATTGTCAACCAATTCCTGAAATTAACACAGAAAGAAAGAGTAGATAAAAATAAAATAAATAGCTAAACAAAACTACTGTATTAGTTTTTATATCGGCACACATCATATGACATATCAATACAATACCAATGTGTCTGCGATCGGCCAATAATATCTGTCAGGCTCAAGAAAAGGCTAAACTCCAGATTGTGGCACTTTCAAAAAGACAGATTGGTAAACAAAGAACAGTCAAAATCAACTTTTCGACTCTAACATGCGTCAAGCTCCAAAAACTGTTGATCCCAAAACTTTCCATATTGTAACTATAATGCTCCCCCTCTCTGATAAATGCTCTCATAGTTCAAACTCTACTCATCAAGTTTGTACAAAGCCTTTCCATTAAAAAGAAAAGTCTCCAAGCCAGATGACCTCATCCAGGGTTATTATCTCAAAGCTTCTCTAGAGCCACAGAAGACTTTATACAACTGTTTTCACAGACTGACGAGCACTCACGATACTCAGTGATTGACGGGGTAAAAATAATAATACATGTTTGTACAGCTTGTACATAATATTAAAGGTATCAACCTTATCCTCACTACTTAGAAATATCAGCGGTATGTTAGGGAAGTCATTGTGAATTACTGCCCATAAAGGCTCACAGTCAGAGAGTCTGCACTTCCTCTGACCCCAGCTCGCTCTCTCTCTGGTGGCCAAACGACTGAGAGGCTATTTTTTACTACTCATCTGTCATGTAAAATGCCAGTGGGGGTAAATTATGCCAGGTTATCTATAAAGCCAACTTATCTTTTTAATTAGTGAGCCAGAGAGGGTGGCTCTGGAAAATAACAACACAGATCTGCTGGAATGATCTGTCTCTGCCAGCTACGAGCTACGCCGAGACGCAGAGCAGGAGGAAAATGTCTGCTAGAATGGATGGATAACCAAAAGCTTACAGCTTACAGCTAATGAGCGTGCTAGCTGTTATAGACACTAAACACCCGGCGAAAGACAATAAACCAATTTTTCAGACACTTGCTTAAATTAACATGCAAAAATAGAACACCATGGGCTACCCAGTGAGCTGTAGAGCAGGAAGAGAACAGAACATGCACAGACGATAGGCAAATTATTTCAAAGATCAAAGGCATAAATCTTAACAGTGCCAGCGATTTGAGTGATTCTGTGGAAGCGAGCTCTGATTGCAGTTTCTGTCGCACAAAGGCAAACCCGCTCTGCCGTGTGTGTGTTTGTTTATATGCCGCTAATTGTGGCCCAGAGCAGCGCAGAGCAGGCGAGGCTTGGCTCTGATAAACAGTGACGGTGAGTCCTCTGAGGCCCCTAACCTCTCACATCAGCAGCCCCTAACAGCCCTTCCTTCCTTCATCTTAGAAACCAGCTGAAATCAGCTCCACTATCCTGCTCTCATAGTCACTCCAGGATTAACAAAACATCATATCATTTACTATCTTATGTTGCCAAGATGAGCTCGGGAAGTCAGAAGACTTAAAAATTACACCAACTTTATACAGAAACTTTGACCAAACTGTTAATAAGTGCTCTGACTTAGAGACTGCCACTGAAATTTGACAACGGTAAAAAAATGTATGCCTAAGAAATGGGCCCAAAAAGGAAGCAGACGCTTCCTTTTTTCATCTTCCAACAACAAACCAACCAGTGTAAAGTTTACATTACGACTGAATGATGCCTGACATCACTCATTCAAGGATAATAAACCAGTTTTTGTCTGTGCAAACATATGTCTCTACTTGCAAGGACCCTCACTGACATACCAACACCAACCGCATGCATAACCCCCTTACACTGAGCGTAACCTAATACTAATTCTAACTTTAACCCTAAAACCTAGACTTAATGGTGCCATTTTTCACATTTTTTAAATCCCTCACGTCATGCAAACTTTTGCAGTCATGTTTGTTATCTTGCAGTCTTGCGAGCCCCAAAAATCCTCACTTTCCATAAATATTTGCACCCTGAACTTGTTCTTGACAAAATAAAAGTATAAAAATGTTGATCTTCGCAAAGTCTGTCCCCCAGTTTGAAATGTCCATGACAGACCCTGCCTGGCCCATAATTTCAGTAGTTAGAAACTGGACGAGTGACCTTAGGGCTGCTGGATTTTGGATACCAACCTTGGCCTTGTCGAGCTGTGCCTGAGCCTGTCGCTCTGCCTCTCTGCGCACTGCCTCCTTATCCTCCTCCAGGGACACATCGGAGTCTGATGGACGGCTGGTGTAGGAGTCGGCCGAACCCTGCGGACACACAAACACTCAAAGTCAAACTCCATTCATTTGGATTCGTGCTTTAAAAATGACAGGTGTCAAGGGAAGCATTGGACTTCACAGCAACTTAATCTGCTTCCCATTGTTCTTGTTCTTCAAAGAAACTCTGGAGTTGAGCATCTGATGTGCAACTTAGAAATGTGCACACACACACACACCCACACAGACTGAAGTGCTAAGCTCTGATCATCAGTTGATTTCATGAAATAATGAACGTAGAGGCTGTGCTCAATAAAATGTAATACCTCAATCAATCAAACAACTTGAGGAAATCACACGAGCTGACTGAATGTGAACCAAATTATAGACACTTCCTCTTTTACTGGGAAAGGATGCCAAAGGACACAAACAGTCATTTTTCATAGATTCACATCACCAGCAGCTCATCTTCTATCCTTAGCTCTCACTCAGCTGCTCGCCTGCAGATTTGTTTTGATCATTCTGTGACAAACACTGGGGGATATTGTTGAAGAACACCAGGTCCCAGTATCTCTCCATGTGATATGTGGTTGCGACAGATCTACTCATAAAAAAAGCAGACTCACAAATACCAAAACACATATGATCGCTATCTTAGACACACTCCTGCGTGCAGTGCATTGGTGCACACCATCACACACACACACATCTGAAAGAATTATATAAACAACATAACATAAATCACTTCCAAAGTAGATAATGTGACACAAGCTCTTACTATATAGATCAAAGTGTTTTCAATGAGTTTTTATCTATAAAATTAAACAATAGGGGATGTGTGGGTAGCCTGTAACAGATAGACAGGATGTTATATGTTCAACCTACAGTAAAAACTACACTAGCAAAGAAATTGTGTCCTTTAAGATTTCCATCTACCTTGAAATCTTATCGATTTACAATTACATACATTTAATTTATTTAATTTATTGATTTAAAAGTAGCTTAACCACATCAAATCACAAATTCTGCTGGCAAAGATGGCGGTTACTGGTACAGTGAGTTAGCCAACTATCAGCATGGCTAGTTTACCTGTATTTATTTTAATGTGCATGTATTTTCTGTATAAAAATACATATCTAATTAATATAATTTGTATGCATATTAATAAAATATATGATTTAAAACAGAGAGATGTTCTGGTTATAAGTAAGTTTTGCGTAAATATGTAGTTAGTGCATTTTGGCTTTATAGGATGGCGCCAGTCGCTCGGCTAACTGAAATAAATTTAAAACACCGGAGAAAAACTTTAAATATGAGAGGAAAAACCTTTCATTTGTGAATGTTGGAAAGAATATCAATTTGCACACGCACTGCAGATTAATTTCCCAGCACCACTTTAATTAATCAGTTTCATTTAACTATAAATGAGGGTCTGAGATTAAAAGAAGGGATTTCTAACTAAGTGAAGGCAGTGTGAGCTTTATCCTTACCTGCACGCTACTATGCCACCCACACAAGGTCTTTCATTCATCTCACTGCACCATTACACTCTGCTGTCTGAGTTAAAAATAGCCTCCCTCACTCTGTGCCTGATTAGAATTACCCAGCCATCACATCCATACAAAGGAGGATCTCCCACCTCTCCACTTACATTACCTGACTTATACACGGAGACAACACGAGTGCTGTTACCGTACATAATACAAGGTTATTCATATTTATGTCCTCCATCTTACATAAAACGCTGCTGCTCATCAATTGCCTCTGTGGCTCTCATCCTCCCTCTTTTGTACCTGATATGAATAACTCATTTCAAAGTAAGCTCATTAACTATCCATGGGCTGCTTCTGCTGTGATCATGATCAATGTAATCTCGCAGTGGCTTTCAAAACATCAACAAGCATCAGACGCTGCTCAATCTTGTGTTTGAATTCATTCGCATACCACATAAATATCCTAAATTGGCATCTTATTGCACATTAGCCTCTCTTTTACGAGCTTAAAACAGCCTTAAAAGGTGCAGGTGAACATACCTGGCCTGGTGTGATTATACCATCAGGTCACGTCTAACGATGGGGCGTGCTCAAGAACACCGTCCCAGTGGGTCAGAGGGAGGTGATATGGAGCTCTGCCCAGAATCTGACAGCCATAACTGATAACAACACCCAGCTTTCTCATCATCACCAGGCAATACACAACCGTGCCACGCTGACCCCATCGCTATGGACTGATGGATGAACTAGAGACTGCAACAACACACACATGCACAGGCACACACACACACACACACACACACACACACACACACACACACAAAAACAAAACAACAGACTTTCACAATGTAAACACACTCAAAATCTGCTTACACAGGCATCAGAGCTCTTGACGCGACCTCCCTTGGCTCGTTTCAGCAAGCGGATCCAGGTGGCCTTCATCAGCCACACTGGTCATTCAGTGTCCTGAGCCACTGCCCCCCCCTGCTACAGCTACAACTACACCTAACTGCACTGCTGTGGTCACCTTGACACCAGCGCTGCAGCGACCGTCACTGCTCGGGCTACAGGTACATTCAACACTGTGGCAGCATCTGCAGCTGGTTCCTGTTACACTTTGGCTGTAAATGCTACCTTCATCTCTGGATAAATAAATTGCTTTGGAGTGAGGGCTCCTTGTTTTGCTGCAGCTCCAGCTAGCTCTGCTGTTATCTGTAGAGCCACAGCTCCTGCTCCTCCTGCTGCTGCTGCTGTTGCCAAAGATGGGGAATCCACAGGAGCTCTCTGCCCCGCGCATAATCTCAGCAGCTCTCTCCCCGTCTGCCCCAGTCTCCTTGATAGCCGGAGTGCTCAGACTGCCGCTGCAGGTGCTGAGGCTGACTCCCCGTATGAGTCAGGTGGCAGCGATGCTTCTCATTCTCTCATTCAAGCTTTGGCTCCAGCCTCGTTCTCCTCCTCCGCTGTAGCCTCCCCCTGTAGCTGCTCCACAAGCGGTGGATAACAGCAATTTATCTACACGAGTCCTGGCGTGGCTGCCTGTGAGCGACTCTCCTCCTGATGCTAATGAAGCTGCTGCCTCTCAGGTGCTGCAAGCTCCCTCCTTCTCACTCTCTGTGTGTCTCAGCCTGTCAATGTTTGTCCTGCACACTCCTTCAGTGACTCTGCCTCTCTATCTCTGTCTCTGCTCACCCCTCCTTCTCCTCCTCCTCTGTCACTCCCCTCATTTTTTATTTTTTTTCCTCAGTTACCCCTCACAGTCAGTCCATCTGCTCGTTGTGTCTCTGCAGTGATCAGTGCTGGGCAGTGAATGTGCTGCGTGGATACGGTTTCTGTGTCGACTGTACATGCTGTTTTGTTCTTTTCAGACGTAAACACACTACATTCACCCTGATATGAGCTGTTTAAGTAGTTGTCACATCGTCGTCTTCTCAGAAGCGCTTGTTTACAGTCGAAAAATCCCAAAATCGGAATCTGCTCACCTTTTATAGTGCGTCATATTAGGGCTGCAACTTATCATTATTCTCTTTATTGATTCATGCATCGGTTCTCAAACTTCTCCTTTCATGCCCTCCTTTGGAAGCTGAAAATAATTCACGCCCCCTCCTACTCCTGCGTTTTGTGAGGAAGAACATCGGGAGAAACTAAAGCAACAAGACAAGCAAAGCTGACATGAAGAAAATGGACTGGATGTTTTCATATTTCTAAATGCAAAATGACAAACAATGCTGCTGACACAAAACACACAAAAGGCTCTACTGCTATATTTACAATGAACTTTCTCATATTTCGCATTTGACTGCAGTGTTTGCTCAACGAGCATCACTTAAATAGCATCTGTATTTCTTTCTTTTTGATCACTTGATTGTATAGTTTGAGAAAAGATGAATCAATTAATTGTTTGACTGAAGCTTTTAAGAAAAAATACAATATATAAGCTGGAACCAGCTTCTTAAATGTGGATATTTCATAATATCATATTAAATATAATTGGAAATTGACTATCTGGTGTAGAGGGCTGTACTGGGAGCGGGTGCGGGTGTGAGCAGGTGGTCAAAGAATGAACTGCAAGCACCAACCAGAAGGGTGGAGACGGACTTCACAAATGAAGCTGAAAAGAAGATGAAAGCAGTTTTTTACAAAACAAGAGTAAAGCAAAGCAAGTCTGACATTTGGAGAAATTTCTCAGTTGTTACTGACAGTAAAAGAACGTCTTTTTTCTGCGAGGCAGAAGAAGACACAAAATCTCTATAGTGTGGGCGCAAATGGTCCAAAATCTTGCAGGAGCAGCATTAAGAAAACAGTCCTGCACAGGGCTCGAATCTGTAAGTGATGGATGCTTTTCAGATTTTATAGGGGAAAAAAAAAGAGAATAGTTAAATTAATCTGCAATAAAAACTGGAGCTGCAATGATCAACGTAAAATTAGGACGCTACAAAACTCATTTTCAAGCAAAAAACTAAATCTTAGCTTCATTAATGGAAGAATTTGCTGCTTTTCTCTTTTATATGAGATTTTTTGGACTTAAAATAATAATAATAATAATAATAATAATAATAATAATAATAATAATAATAATAATAATAATAATATACTGTTTTTTACTGATTATTTTCAAATGAGAATGAGGGATTCTGAGGTGAAAGCAGCTTTAAATCCTCGCCCGTCAGATCAGCGGTGATTCATTGCAACTGAGCGGAGCACTGCAAAGCCACACAGGACAAATGAGAATAATTACAGCGTTAATTAAAAATTTCCCATCCTCATAAAGGAACAGCCGAAGTTAAACCCTGCAGAAGGATTATTATTCAAAATGTCTCCCCTTTTTCTTCTTCTTTTTTTGCACTGCTGACGCATGATGTTCCTCTGTCTGACCCATCATGAGGTTGCGCGAGGTCAGAGAAGTCAGGGGTTGGCCTGTGGGACCACTGGATGAAATAGGCCCGCTGGTTTATTGCCAGCAGTCACTCCCCAAGGAGCACTAACTGTACATCAAAGGATGACATGCTAATCAGCGGTGCTTATCATAACCAATCAATGACACGCCTCCATCTGCCCGGGGTCTTTTCGACAAGATACGTCCGCTTAAAAATGACACCTCTTATATGAAAGGAGAGGCTGGGGGAAAATAATGTGATTTTAGCTCATTAAGGCCAATTAGCCTGATGAGGAAGGCAATTACGTGAGATAGATTATGTTGATTATGTTTGAACAGAGATGGATGGGAACGGCGGACAGGAAAACTTTTATCTTGTCCGTCGTAACATCAAAACATCTCCAATTAGCTCAGCTACAACAGCAGTCTATAGGAAAGAAAACACCAAAGAAAATCGTTCAATGGTCACATATGTTTCAATAAGGTGGGTTAACACTAGCCTAAAGAGGGCACGGATGCTCTGAACGTTGATCCCGCCCGGAGATGAGAGTTGTGGAGCTGTGAAAGCTTTACTCCGATAGCAACGCTGACAAAAACACACAGCGACAGAACGAGCCTCCGGCTGCCTGACATGACCGACCTCTGGACCCACTGCCACACTGATACTGACAGCGCTGTGTCACCCACACACTGGCCAGTAATAATCATCTCACAGCAGTATGATACTGCTTTGATCCATTAGGAGAAGTCTTTTTTTTTTTTTTTTTGAGGGTTCACCCAGCAGACTGAGAATCACAGCTCCGTTCAAAATAGCAGGACTTTGGTCAAAGACCTTGTAAATGTTCTGATTATAGGACACTCTTCCTGTTAACTTTGCCACAAAAAAGCTGTCTAGTCAGCAAAAACCTTCATTACATTTGATGACAGTGTTTTTTAGCCATACAAGTGACATAGCTCTAGGGATGGCAATTTCAGTTGGTCCACCATTCGACCAGACCGACCAGTGTGTTGGCATTTAGCTCACAGTAGGGCTGTACCAAGGTTCAGCCTTACAGAGCCGCTAGCGTGGCTGTAAACTCTTAATCTTGTTGAACAAACACCAACTCTTACTAATTATTATTCTTACAGTAACCATGCATAAAGGTTCGGCAATAAGGAACATTTATAGTTATACCAAATAAACTATGGTTAAGGTATGAATAACACCAACTAAAACACATTAAAAAACCCAAGATCATCCTCTTCGGTTAAGTATTTTCTTAAGAAAATACAACATTAAATGTTTCTATAAGATGGGACACAAAGCAGTGGTACATCACCACCCTTTGCATTCCCACTTTAACAGCACACTACTTCACGCACTGGTGCTGAAAGCTGTCATTGGAGCTAAATCGCGTCCTGCAGAGTTGTCCGATATTAATACTACCCTCCTAAACAAACTGGACAGAAAATGTGGCAGTGTTGGGAGGAAGGACAGACAAACAGGATTGTGTGTGAGAGTTGGCCGTCTTCGTGCATTGGTCAGAGAAAGAGATACGAAGGGGGGAATTGAAAGGACAATGGTCAATACTGCTCTTATTGATTCATTTGGACAGAGGTCCTTTGCTGTAAGACCACCAATGACCCCTACATGCAGCAGTGGCACGGCGATCATTACATTAGAGCCTCACAAATCACTGTAGCTATTACCACAGTGAAGCAGGAGGCTGTGAGTCAGCCCCCGCTCCCTCCTGTGTCTGACAGAATCCCTTATACTGGATGAAGGAATGTCTTCACGATCTGAAAGCTTCCATTTTCGTTTTTTGTCCACTATAGGAGTCAGTCTCTATATGTGTCCACTATAAAAATAGAGAGCTGTAGTCATGCAGAAAATGAAGGCAGTGCACGGGAGCTATAAAGTGCTCTCATGGTCGAGGAATCCTTGCTAAATTCAATCCTTACATATAGCAAGACTCTTGCTCTTTCCTTCCACTCAGGCCACACTGCACGCTCAATCGCAGCTTGTTTACCATTATATATTTTCATTCATGGCCCCTCTCTTTCTCCAAATGTTCTCTCACTCTCATTTGCCCTTTTTTCACCCTTTTCCATTCCTTCCCATCCCACATGACCCCTTACTCTGCTGCACTCATCTCCCGTCTCTCTGAGAATTCCCAATGGCTTTGGCTTTCCTGCCTTTGTGGTTTGCTCAGAGGATGGTTACGTGCATCTCCTGCTCTTTCAAGACGATAATCCCTAGAACTTGTGACTGTAGTGACTGATGAATTCTTGTCAGTGTCATTCAATACTGAAATGCACACACTTCTCCATCGAGCACAATTTACAGTCATTTCCAATTTCTTTAAGTAGCTGATACATGTTCATAGGTCTAATCATTTAAGCTGAAAACTGGCCAACATGGATAAAAAGTTTGAACATCTACTGTTTAATGGCAAACCTTACCTGCTGTGTGATACCGTCAAAAGCTCAAGAACACTAAAGTTAAGCAGTTTAGATTGTTTTGTCCATTATTGTTTCTAAGGTCAAGAATAAACTGTCAAACTCAAGGTGATAATTCATACTGTATAGAAAAGTTGGTTCTGAGTTAAATGTCAACTATTAGATGCATTGCCTTAACATTTGGTACAGGCATTTATGTCCACGTTAGGATGACTTATAACAACTTTGAAGATCTCTTTTTTTCATCTAGTGCCATTATTAAGTACATTTTTTATGACCAAAACTAATGACGTAACTAATTAATGGCATTTATTAGCAGAGTATAACTTTCCTTAATTATAGAAAATTTAAATTTCATTCAATTCCATGCATAACCACAATTCTGTAATATAAAAGGGAGTAAAAACCAAGTAAAAATAGACTTAACGTCTGAACTGATGGAGTGAATTTTATCTTAAAATTCAAACTTACTAAAAATGAGCGAAACAGACAAAATACAGTCGAGCGTCAGTGGTGAATTTAATGGGGCTAGCGTGGTCAGACTGCACAGTGTACCTGACATTATACATCATGATTGAAGAATGAAGATTACTGCTCGTGCCAACTCATGTTCATTTCTGGCTGACGAACTGTAGCTGACTGCAGCGGGCTGACAATGGGCTGAGCGAGTGTGCTAGCAGTTTTCAGGCTTGGCATGACTCATTCTTGGCTGGAACCAAAGCCTCTTTTCCCAGCCATCTGTCCATCACTGCCACTTCACTCAGTTCAACACAAAGTCAATTAAATCATCGGTCCACAAACAGCATCTCCTTCGTCAAACAGAGACAAT